GTGCCAATCGAATTCTACCGTTGTTTCCCAAGCATGCAGGCTTATCTGGTCCTTATCCAGTATTACGATAAAATAGGCGATGACGCATAGGATGCAGGCAATTATGCTGCATATCCACCACCAGAAACGGATATCTTGAAAAATTCGATCCTCATCCCTCGCCAAATAATAGATGGACATCGCAGACAGAAATATTGTCCCCAGAAGGAACAGTGGCGGGATGAGTTTCTCATACCAACGTCTCAGGGGCACCATTTCCAAGTGAAGAATTCTCTTCCGGTATGCAAATTGATACGGGAGCTTGTACGGGAAAGGGTAGTGTTCTATGTACAAGAACTGGACCAGTCGGACCACACCCAAGGGTGTGTCCAGTCCATATGGGAAATTCATTTAGATAGATAGTTAATTAGCTGTTTTGAATATCTGTTTGTTGTATAATTTGCCACTGAAATTTTAGACAACTATCTCCTAGATGCTTAATATGCATATGACTCTGGGAAAAATGTGGCAGTATTGGTTACACAACCAAACCATTCAGACATTCGATTCTAATTCGATTAGCTGTTGCAGACTACTTTGGAAACTCGTAATTTATGAGTCGGCTTATTTATGCAATATGTATATGAGGTTTTTACTTCTGGAAAATAATTCGTTGCCTTTCAGACACTGTCTGGAACTTTCTTCGTCTTATTTTACAATGTTGATTATTTATAAAAAAAAAAAGTTGACTAGATACTCACAAGGCATAGGCATGAAGTGGTTTTCTCCAATTTTGACCGGAGGGATTTTAAATTGTTCTAGAGAACTTTCTTTTATAGGACTACAGGAGAAATGTGACCGATATATCGGTTGTGCAAAGCAGTATTTATGTATGTATATCATACCAAGTTAATATGGAGATTAATATTTAGGCTCGTTGATTATAATTTCCATAAATTGTACTCATTTGAATTTATATAGTCAAAGTAGGTTGTTTGTATACTTATATGGAAAATTCCTAATCTTCGCTAAATAAAAAAATGTCGGCTGTGTGTAAGAAGGAATACTCCCAGCTTTGTGAAACAGTCGATACTTTCGGCAAAACAAAACTTCGGTTCCGGTGGCTGAAAATGAGCAATTAAGTTGCAAAGTCTTCCGGAAAAGGATTAATGGCGGACGCCACGAAAAACAATAAGTGGGAAGTGGATAATGGATTAAGGTCTCTTTTCGGCACTGATTCGCCAGGGCAATCGTATTTAACGTATTGTATCAAAATTTGAGATTTGGAAAATCATGTTTGACCATTTACACGCCAAAATGCCAAGTGATCCACCCGCTATAGGATTTACTCTAAACCAAGCTGATTGGGTTTGTACCCTCGATTTAGACGGATTGTGTGAATTTTACTCTCGAGGCAAAGTTGAAGTAAAATATATAATTAAATATTTTTTTAAAGCAACATAAACTTGATTAGATCAAATACTAATTGATAATTTTACTGCACAGAACAACGACTTTGCTTTGCTCGAAAATTATCCTCTCATGAGATGAAATTGTGCGTTCGTGCTTAAATTGTGCCGAGACAAATTACGAAGACAAATGTCAAAAATGCTACAATTTGAAGTTTGACGGTTTATGTATTTGTTTATTTTAGAGAGCAAGAATATTTTTGGCTGTGGCGTATCCTAATCAAAACAATTTTGGTGTATACTTTTGCTAAGCATACCGTCGTGAAGTAAAAGGGTAGGGGTTGTATTCCTCGCAGATTTTGAGCAGAATGATTTTATATTCCCACACGAAAATCAGCAAATCCGTTAATTTTTGTTAACAATCGAAATTCACCCTGCAGAGGAATTTTTAAATAATTCAAACCTTCAGACAAACCTTCCGCCTTCCTAAATTCTTTTCGAAGCTTGATCAGATTAAAAAACAGTTTCGTATACACATCAAATTGCATACCTGATAGTCGAAGGAATTTATATGTCGTACATATAAGTATTTATATGTTGTAAATGCGGCTAATCCTAAGTCTTGAGATTTTTCTAAACCCAGAAACATGTAAAAACAAAAAACCATTTTGAAAGTGCACATCTGAAAAATTTAATCTGGAAATTTCAATTTAGCTTGAAAAATACAACTTTGTAACTTTTGAAGTTGCGCCAACATTCGAAAATACCAATGGTTTTGGTGGAGAAATGTTTTTAAAATTCTGTCACGCAGCAAAATTCTCCCATTGTCACCAGTTAAAAAATATGGGGCTGCTTATTGTGGTCATTGAACAAATTTAAAATGATCCGTTCCATATTTGAGTAACGGCTTGATATTTCAATTTCATATCGCAAAGCCGAATAAATATATTTGTTACAATTATTGACTGAGAATTAAGGGTAAAAATATCGGCTGCGGCCGATATTTCACCGACGTGCAGCTCTGATTCCGATTCATGTACACTGCACATGCACTTTGACAAGCGTCAAGAATAATAAATAAACAAGACAATTGTTAAATAGTAAGAATGCCAATATTGTTAAGTGGGCTGTTTCCCCAAAACTTTACTGTTCGTGGTACTTGTAACCTAACAGGAGTTCGCAAAAAAATAAATGTGGTCAAGCTATTAAAAGAAATTTTATTTTTTATGCAAATTTTTAAGTCAGCCCGAATGGCCCGGCCCTGGGGAAACTACCCATCCCGCAGCTACTCAGTTAGGCTCTGTATGTACATATGCATGTATGCATGCAAAACCAGTCATTCATTACATATGCATGTAGGTCTGCACATTTATATGTATGTACATATGTAAAGCTTCATTTATACTGCATGATTTCACTATAATTTTCTTATCACATAACGTTATTTCTGTGGAATTGCAGGATAGGAAAATTATCACGAAATCTTAAAATACTTATGAACGCAGCTGAAAAGCGAAATATGTTCATGAAATGTGAGTTGTGGAATATTCCTTGATTTCCAAAAAAGCATGGCTCGAGTAAGCAAATACATTCGGATTATAATCGATATATTTTATTTTTTCAAGTTTATCTACCTAAATGATTGCCAGCCGATTGTACATATGTAAGGGTTACTTCCACGCTTGATTGATTTGTTAGTTGCATCAAACTTTCTTCTCTATGAAAAACTTATTACGATTGAGGTAAGTATTTTATTACACAAGTTCTATCACGATTAAAATCTTCGATTATGCTACTAGTTTGGAGTCCAAACTAGTAGCATAATCGATGCTATGATTTGATGGATGCATGCAATGCAATTTTAATACCAAGACAATTGTGAATATGCATCAAGCCCTTGGCCGAATTTCATGAACGAATTATTTGTTATATAATTTCGTCATTGTTAAGTGAGCGAGGCTTACCGTATAGAAACCGCTTGCCCATCGGTCTGATGCCGTCAGACGGACGCACGGTCTGCCCGTTGGTAATTTCTTTAACTGACCAGGTACATAGGTTCTAACCTCACGACGCTAATCCTAAGTCGGAGGTCGTGATCATGTCAAATTGCAACAAAGGTACATGGGTATCAAATCAACCATATTTTAAAACCGCTGTCCAATGGGACAGGTCGTTTTGATCAAAATAAGTACGGCATTTACTTTATACGGATCCATAGGCCGTTCGACCGAGCTCAAAAGTAGATAATATCGACATTAAACGTTTTGCTTGTAGATATTAGACTTTATTTGGGTGGAAATTTCAGGTACAAATGTTAATTTAATAATTGGTGCATACATATATTAGCAAAATGGAATTGTGCTTATGTAAGGAAGCTATATAATTGTAGATTGCAGTTTTATAAGACACAGGGATGACGCACAATAAGACATATGTATGTATGTGTATACATAGCTATACATAAATATATATCATAAGTTGTATTTGGTACTATTACATGTACATATTTTCTGGAGAAAATAAGTTTTTACATAACTAGACGAAATATTATGAGATAATTCAGATCGATTTTACCTATCTCTAAAATTATCCTTGATTTGTATGTATGAGACGGATGTTTTAAATATTTATTGACGACCAGGGAATTTGGGTTGGTTGGGTTTATTTTATGAATGTATTTACCTATGAACTAGACGTATTTAAAAGGTCGAGTTGGACCTTACAAAATGGCAATACAGTGCAGACCACGTACATTCATATTCCAGGCAAAATGCTTACGTACGTACACTCCAGAACTAGGTTACTAACCGAGGTTATAAATAAATATGTATGTACATGTAAATATGTATACCACACGCTAAGGAGTTTTCATAATTTTCAGGTTTGGTAGGAGTTTAATGGATGGAGAATCTCTACATATTTACTTACGAGCAACCTTTTTACCCTTATCCAGAATCTGGATTCCAGATTTACAGGGGTGGGACAGAAGAAGGAGCCACTTGAATTTTAGGGGTGGCGTGTGATGCACAGTCGCGGCATTTTCAAAATTTGCATATGTCATACCCAGATAGTTAACGAAAATTTAGCACTATTCAGATTTTCCCTACGGTTAAAAATGCCCCTGCAGCACCCCCCAGAGTGCGAGGCACGCATAAAAGTGTTTTCCAAAGACATACTGAGCCAGAGAGCGATTGTTAGAAAATTTGATGCAAATGGATTTATCGTCGATCGAAAGTACGTTTCTAATGTACTTAAAAACGTTGGAATCAAGCGGAGGGAAAAAGCGGTTAGAGCTCCACCCCCACGGAAAGGATACCCAAGATCCGCTTGAACCAAAAAGTTTATCCGGAAAATCAATTTTTCGCCAAAACGGTAAATCCACCAACTAAAAGTTGCATGGCGAAAATGTTAAACGTTAGTAGGAGAACATTTCTAGAGTCATTCACAATGACCTACAGCAAGTGACTCGTAGGAAATCCCGAGATCATGCTCTCATCCCAACTTATTTCTCACAAAATAGCAGCCTACGCGAAGGATTTTAAAAAAAGTTTGTGTATAACAATTATTCCTACTACAGAAACTCTCGATAGTTCCTCTGATATCAATCCGATGTTTTTTTTGGATTCGAGTACTTAAAACAGAGCCTTCTTGAAAGGAAAACGCGTGCGTTTTGATGCACTTTGGAAAAGTGTTCAGGACGAGTGATGCAGAATCACTCTGAAAATTGTGTCAAAGGTCATGACTGGTTGGAAAAAGCGACTGAGGCTCGTTGGACAAACTAAAGGGCTTCACACTGAACCAATTACCAAACTTCACAAACGAATAATAAGGCCGGAATAAATTTAGGCAAAGTGGCTCCCTCTTCTGTCCCACCCCTCTGTACTACACGTTCCTAAATAGAATATTATATTGCACTTTAGCCAAATTATAAAAAAATAAAATTGTGCTTTCAATGTGCATAGAAATATGTAGTATCCATCAGAATACTCATGACCCGCTGCTTGATTTAACATGTAAATTTATTAGGTGAAAGTCATAAGTTTAATACAGTACAGACAAGATCCTACATAAGCATATTTATTACTATTAAATACATAAATATGCATTTACTTAGCTACTTAACATCAACAATTTTGTCAAACTTTATAAGATTCGATGATAAACCTTGTTAAATATTTAAAACGAAAACTCATAGTGCTTATTATTTCAAGACCATTCAGAAATTTCTTACTGATCTACATAAATATTGCGCATTTTTTACAAAATACGCATCATTTTCCAAGTATTTAGTGTTTAATCGACTTATAAATTAAAACGTATTTAACCTATTTCTTGCACGATACAAAATCTAACTCTACATTTTTCCAATTCTCGAGTAAACAATTATTTTTCTCCGACCCCTTTTTTTCTTCAGCCTGCTTCTTTTTTAACTGGTTAATGAATTCATCGCACTTATCAACGAAATACATTTGACCGACTGCACAGTAAAAATACGTTCCCAGGGACACATAAATCCTTCCCCAACCTCTAAGGGCCTCCTCAGCCAATTCCCATCTCCCAGAAAGTACCTCATTCCAATCTATCAAACGCAAGTTGCTTAATACAGCCAAGATAACAAGCCAGAAGGCTAAATCGGCGAAAAATTTTGCAACTTTGGCAAATCTGATTCCCCAAGCCCGACCGTTGACGAGGGGTGCGAAAATGGCGAAGAATCCCGAAAATGAGAGACCGATTAATAGTATAAAGTGTACAAATAAGGTAGCTATATATTTATTGAATATATGATTTAATTCTCCTGGTGAGCTGTTACTCATTGCGTATTTAAAAGATTGAAAAGTTGACTCCAAGCCGGATGCAACAATTCGACATCCTAGCACCTGAAATGTGACAATTTGTACATATTTATTTATGCATATGCAAAGTAAATTAAATATATATGAAACGAAATGTTTAAGCTATTTATAATCTTACCAAGTTGCAATACCCTAAGAAATTTAAGAGGCCGTATTTGTTGAAAATTTGCATGGTAAGACGGTTAATTTTTAGTTGTCCAGTGAAATTTAGAGGACTTTTGCACGTATGTATCAATGTACTTGCAATGGAAGGAGTAGAAGTGAACTGGACGAAGGGATTCATTGCTTCTTGATTGATATATTGTATGCACGTGTTAACATTTTAACGTATTCATGAGTCGAAAATAGTTTTCTAATTATGTAGTCACTAAAATAGAGTGGAAGGGTTAAACATAAAAATCTGATGGACTACCTTCCTAAACATCCATGTGGACTACAAACACCTTCCAGGTACTCAATTCCAGGAAATATTGGAAATATTATCTAAACACGTCGAATTTTAATGGTAAGTAGGTTTATGAAATATGTATGTACATATCAACAATTTGCTAAGAAATCTATTTTAATGAGCTTAAAAAGGTTGGAATATGTACATATGTATGTACATATTCAATTTGTGTGTGTCCATTGTAACAATTGAAAAAACGGACACAAACATTTTAAAATTTCACGCAAACTAAAGTGACGAGAAGAAGTTTATATGTACCTTATAAAGTTCTTGACTATATAGAATATGAAAAAATATAGTTTTAAAATGTACGTGTATATGAATAACAGGTTCCAGCATAGAAACTTAATATTACGTGAAGGGTTCAAGTTCTATGTAGTTATACATTTGTATGTACATATGTACATATGAACATATGTATAAGATTTTGTGAAATGTGATCGAAATATTTTATACAAAACTTTAAATACATATATGGAAATTATTTTTTGAATAACTTCACTTTAAGATAAGCCCGATAAGCCACTGCATATAAGCAATGCGAATTAAATTTGTTTCATGAAATTGTATGAAAATGGATGCATTTCTCAACTCACTTTGAATCCTTGCCCGTCAAACAAAATGTTGACATTCTCTGTCATCTGTTTGTAAGTTGGAACTCATAATTTCGAAATGATTTATTTCCTCGTCGAATTTTAATTGTTTACCACCAATTTCCTATTAAGATATACTTATTTTTGTTCCCTGATTATCCTTACTATGGCGCAAACTACCGCCATATCTGATAATAAAGAGAAGAACAAGAAGAAAGCAAACCTGCCAAAAGAATTGCTCGATCTTATTTACATATTTCCAAAAAAGGATGGCGAATTGAGACAGTGTGGATTATGTAAGTTAGAGGTAATTAAGATAAAATAACACGTGACAATTAATTGTAATGGAGACGACTTACATAGTTGTATTTATGGATATTTTTACTAATTACTGTTTACGTACAGCTTACATCTAATGTCGTAGCAAATTCTCACTATTCCGGACACAAGCATAAAATGGCTGTTAATTCGTGGCTAAGGGAGAACGGACATGAACATCTTATCGAGGGTGGACCTGCCGTGGTGCCGGCGGCGGCGGCGGCGGCGACGACGACGACGACGAAAAAATCCAAGAAGAAAAAGAAGAAACGAAAAGCCGATACGGATTTAAGCCTTGATGAAATATGTGGTCCTTCGTCATCATTAGGAGGGAATGTTAGCAAGAAGGCGAAGAAAGGTGAGTGACAGTTATTATTTACATAATTGTCTTGGGAGATTTTTGAAAATTAATTGGGCTTTCTTTGAACATGTACCATGGATGACTTTTTCCAGTTCTTAGAATGTATTTTATTGTTCCAATCGTTAATTAGTATTATTAATGAGTTTAATTAATTTTCATCACGTTATTTTCAGACTCTGGTGGATTTTGTACTGTATGTGACATCCATTTGAGTTCGGACGCTGTGGCGAAGGATCATTTCGAAGGGAAGAAACATAAGAAAAAATTTCTTGAGTCAAGAAGGGACGGAAACTTGTAAGTGTTATTAAATTTGAGTAAATAGTAATACTTGTGTAATCTGTAATAATGTCGACTTATTTTTACAGCGAGCCTGGTAATTTTGGAATTGGGGAAATGTTCAAGCCATTTTAGAGTTAATTATTTAAAGTTCAACTGATTGTAATTACACAATTTAAACAACATAAAAACACACTAACGTAACCTCAGCTTAAACTAGACATTGTAGACTACAATTTACCGATATTCATCCAATATTTTAGAGTAACAAACACATGGAAGCTATAATAATAAATAAATTTTAATTGAGAAGTATTTCAATAAATTAATTTGACCGCCGAATGGGTCAAGATCACCAAAACCCATCAATATTAGGGATACTAACTGGCAGATTATTATCTTCGATAAATGCATTCATATCCTCCCAAGTGTCCTCGTCAATCTATGTAAATTAACATAATGTAAGATTCTACATTCGTTTACCATTACCAAAGTATAAAAATGTACCCCAAATTCACTGATAGTCACGCTTTTTATTGTCCTGCATGACAGAAGGGCATCTCGCATCCGGTCAGTCAGGTGAAGGTATGGCTCGCCATGATTACCAACAAATTGAAGTGTCGTGTTCGGCAATGCTAGAATCAGTTTAAACTTATTAAGCTGATGGATAATAAGAAAAACCCGGATTAAGCTTGACTTCAAACCTCTCCAATCCGACATTCCTTCCATCACGGCAATCACGACTTCCGTATCGGACTCGTTATGCAAATTCAGAGCTGCCAGGCTCAAGGGGATCCATTTATATTGAATATTCACCTGCCCGCGTGTTAACTCCCAGCCACCAAAGGATTGCATCATTGCCCTCAAAGAGAGAAAAGCTACATCATCCCCGGCCAAGTCAATCTGCAACTCCAAACTGTATTCCTTCACCGCAGGGAAGAGGGTTACCAATTTGGCAGCAGCATGTCTGTCCTGGTTCCCTACTTCCGCACAATAGGCGCATACAACGTTGAGCGAGGTTATCCCAGTGTGGTGCATATAGTAATTTGCCATCATTTTAGACAAATCGAGATAGTTGCAAGTATTGATGGAGAAGTGGGTCAGCTTTGGTAGGTTGGTGACGTTCAATGAGTCCTGAATTTTAAAAATGTCGGCAGTATCGAGCTTGAGGTAGGTGAGATTTGGGAAGCGAAAATTGAGTTTCTAAAATACAAATTAATAGAAATGCTTAAAAACACAAATACACAAATAAAACGAGCCTCAATTTACCTCTGTCGGCTCTATAGCATCCTCATTCGGATTTAAATTCAAAGTCAACTTTTCCAGAGAATTCGGGCATCTTTCCATCATTCGGTTCATCTCGGAGATGTCAAGTTTTATAATTTCCTTGGTAACATAATCACGACATTCTTTATATTGAAAGTTGAACTCCTTTAGTTTCGGACAGGGCGACAAGTCCGGGTAGAAAACCGAGTTGAGCGTGAATTCTTCCAAGTTGGGGGCAGCGTTTAGCAGTCCTTGACAAGCGGATGACCAGTCGGACTCTGAAGGGTTTCTTTCTCCAAGGAGGAAGTTCGTCAAACAGAGCACCTTCAGATTTCCGAGGGGTCGAAATTGTTGTATGTTCGGAAATGCCATGTCGCCGTCGTGCTGATTAAACTCTTTATTTGTGGCGATGATCGTGATGTGAGTTAGGTTTGGAAAGTCATACGTAGTCCACATTTCATGGAGTCGGGGTTCAAAAGCTCTTCCTGAAAGGAAGCGGAGTGTCTCCAATTTCTCACAAATTGACGGCAAAACTGTTGCAAAGGTGGACGGCAGATTGGTCGTATTCGGAGCACATTTACAATTTATGTTGCAGTTATAATTTATGTACAGCGTTACGTTCTTGGCCAGTTTTGGGTTGAATGAGGCCAACTCCCTGGGCATCGTAAAGTAAGGACTGGTGCAGTAGTAATCCGACGATGACAAAAAGATGAGGTGACCCTGCTTGCCGAGAAACGAGGCGCCGACGTCAGCCCAAAGACGACAGACGAGTCGAACCGACCTTAGACTGATGGGGTCCAATGAGCGGAATATTTGGTCCAAAATCTAAAATAAAAGAACAAGAAAGGATTGTAATTTATATCTGTTCACCATCCGTACATTTTTTCAGTGTCGAATATTTCGAATTGTAACTATTAATGGTAATGTTTGTCAAACATGGAATCAATGTAGCAATATTTTATGTAGGAATCAATTATATTTTTAAGTAATTAAATTACAAGTGGATTCGTCAAAGCCATCATCGTCACTTTGTTGGTGTCGGCGACAAGGTCAATATTCGCTACTTGTATCGTCGCTTGATCAATATCCGTCTCCATTGTGATCTCCTTCCTGTGAAGTGTATAATAATGTATAAATTATAGATTGTCATTAATTTATTATGGTGATAAAATATATACAAATTTTGTAACAATAATTAAAATTCGTACTTGATTAATTTGTCGCTTGTAAATCACAATCAGATCTGGAATCCGACTTTTATTTCGCCAAATAGAGACAGACAATCAGACGAGGAGGTTGTAACAATTAATGAAATTGTAATTAGTTATTAATTAACAGTTAATTATTAACTCCAAGCTACAAAGTGCAAATAACTAGAAAACAGTTGTCCGTAAGTAAAGAAGTAACGGCATGGAGGGAGGAATTGTATTGCCTCACGGGAAGGGGTAGTCTGAGACTCTGTCTGGAAAACTTTCTCCAATTTCTCTTAAATTAAGGTGACGTAATTACTGATATCTCCCAATTAAAAATTAGCATATCTATTGGATTTAGCTGTTTTGAATTCGGGCGTTTGGTCCTAAAAGGTTCTTCTTGGACAAACCAAGATGTTATAAGGCCCTGGGACCGTTTAAACTGTGCACTCAAACATAAGTAAATTCAATTTATACACGCTTATACATATGTACAAGTATTAATACATATACATATATTCGTTTAAGGTTTACATGTAAACTCTGCTAAAATGTCTCATAAATACAAATAGTAATGAAAGGCCTACAATGTTAACCCAATCTTTTCATATATATATTTGTGCATGAATGTTTGTGCATTATGTGCATATTTAAACCTTTCTTCAGATTAGTTTTGTTTTACTGCTTTTAGGATTAGTTTTGAAACTTACATATTTTCACGTACGCATGTAACAACATAAAATCCATGCAGGGTTCCTAAAACACCTAATGCAGCGTAATGTTTGTGGACAAATTCCACGTATGTTTTACTTATTTATCTGTATGTTTTTTTAAATTGAGGAAACATAGTGAGATTGAAGCCCTTAATGATTGCAACATAACGTATGTTTTCATGTGTTTCAGAAGTTTCACTCAAAGTAAATTCGCATTTTCTCCTTGGTGCTTATAACAAGTTTTTTAAGCTTTCTTAAACTTATTATAAATAAAGACACATTTAAAAAAATTGTATGTTTTTTGTATGCACTCTGAGGTTATCCCTATCTAGGAATAAAATTGAACCCAACTAAGGAGGAGAGGTTGTGAGGTTGATACATGTATGTAATACATACATGGTACCCGATTTTGATGCCCTTTGATATATTGTAGCCTGCAACGTAGGTATGTATGCATTTATCCAAGGGACATCAAAATCGGGCACTGTAAACCTCACACCCTTCCTTCCTAAATATAGTTCGCAGCCAAACAACGAGGCGCATTTAATGCCATGCACTTGACCATTTTCAGAGTCAGAATTTGTACCTTCACACAATGGAGTTTTGGTTACATTCCTCTTAAACAAGTTCTCCCAATTTAAAATAAGAAGATTTTAAATTAATCGTTGACTGAAGACAGCAGTTAGAAATTTATTGAACAGTAGTTCCACCCCTTATATCCAATTAATTAATCATGACTCCCAATTCCTCCCCGACTAAAACCACCCCAAGTTGTTCAAGTTCGAATTTGAAGGAAAATTTAGCCCCGTCGGGGAACGAAAGCACTTTTAACCAAGAGAAAGAAATTTGTCCCGAAAATTTCAACCAGGCCGTTAACACTTCTCAGCAGAAGGAAAGTTTATCACAAGATGTACGAATTTTTCAGTGCAAAATTTGTGATAAAATTTATACAGCGGAGACCACGTTGGTCATGCATTACGAGAAGACGCACAACCTCTTCAGATGTGGTCGATGCGAAAAGGAGTACTCTGTGAGGGACGAACTAACTCGTCACGTCAAGGTCACCCATCCCTTGGAGGAATTCGGATGCAGTATATGTGGAACGAGTTTGAAGGTATGTAAGTTTCAAATATAAATAATTATGAACAAAATAGCAATTCACGTAACTGGTAAAATCCTTAAGTTTTGTAAAATATCTAGTTTTATAAAATTTTCCAAAATTGGGAGTAAGCTTACAGAAGTTTGTAGGATAATTTTCTTTGGAAATATTTGTAAACTTTTGTAAAAATTTGCAAGTTTCAAGAATTTATGGATTTTACAATGTTACAAAGGACTGCGTGAATTTGGTCAGTGGACATGGTGTCGATGCTTTTACCAGTTAACGACTTTTCGCTTTCTTTCGAATTACTTTAATCTCTTTAAATGCATCCGATCGGTATGGTCTCACAGTCTGTGTCTAAACATGAATTTATTTAAGTGCAATGAATATTGATCGGTTTGCAGAATCAGGATCAACTCGATGACCACGTCAAGGCGCATATTGGAACAATGGGTACTTTTGCATGTCCAGCCTGCCCGAAAATGTTTCTTTCTCTGGTTGATTTAAAAGGTTAAGATTTTCATTTCATTTTCATACATTTGGAAACCAGATTAAGGTTAAAAACGAATAAGTTTGCAAAGTAATTACTTAAAAAAACAAGTAGTTCAGTTACAAATTCTTTATTCATTTCACACAAAATGTAGTTTTTCGGATGTTTTTTCTTCAAAGCCTTTTTGAATTTTAAATTTCGATGAACTACAAAAAATAAAATTGTAGTGAAAATTTTTTCAGGAAAAAAATGTACTTCTTTAATTGTGGTGTACATAATTCTATACACCATTTATGCCGTTACAAATTTTTAAATCTTTATAAACCCTGAAAGTATTGATCAATAAGTTGAGATTTGTACACTAAAAAAATACACCTAAAATAATAATGATAATTTCTTGTCCTGATTGGATTATTATTTTTCACTCCACAGCTCACATGGGGACCACCCACACATCTCTAAAGGTCTGGAAGTGTTCCAAATGTTCCAAGGAATTCAGGAAAAAACGGATCCTTCGAATTCATGAGATTCGAAAGCATAAGCCAAATCTCCCCAAAGGAATTTTTGCCTGTTCAAAATGCCCCAAAAAATTTAACCGAGCCAAGCAATTAGGAAGGCACGAGATCTTCGTCCATGCCTCGATTCGGGGTGAATTCCCATGCCCTAAATGTCACAAGAAATTTAAACTCGCGTCACACCTAACAAGACACAAAAGAATCGCACATTCGAAGAAAAAACCAGCAAAGATTTCGTGCCCCCTGTGTCCCTTAGAATTTAAAAGGGTCTCTCAGATGAAGTATCATAAGGTCAAGGTGCATGCAAACATTGCATGTCCCACGTGCCCCAAGAAGTTTCTGTCGAAAAAAGGGATGAAAACACATGCAGAAATTTGCAAAGCTTCACTGATTGCGAAAAGTCCCTCGTCATCAACAAGCATTCGACAAATTCGCACGTCTTCGCCGTCTACAAGCAGTGGAAGAATTTCGCGACCCTCGTCGTCTACAAGCGGTCGCCAAATTTCCAAGCCCTCGTCATCAACAAGCATTCGACAAATTCGCACGTCTTCGCCGTCTACAAGCAGTGGAAGAATTTCGCGACCCTCGTCGTCTACAAGCGGTCGCCAAATTTCCAAGCCCTCGTCGTCTGCAAGCAGTCGAAAGATTTCTAAAGCTTCACAACCCTCGTCGTCTGCAATCAGTTATAAAATTTCCAAAACCTCGTCGTCTGCAATCAGTCGTAAAATTTGCAAAGCCTCGTCGTCTGCAAACAGTCGACAAATTTCCAAAACTTCGTCATCTAAAAGAAGTCGACAAATTTACAAAGCTCCGCGGATTGAAATCAGTCCCAAAATTCGCAAATCGTCGGGGTCAACAAGCAGGCGACAAATTTGCAAAACTTCACCTATTGCAAGCAGTCCCCAAATTCACAAATCGTGTACAATCAGGCGAATAATTTTTGACCCCTCGTCATCTTCCGACAGTGAACAAATGTGTACGCCTTCACCGATACAAAAACCTAGACCAATTTGTAGGGTAGCACCCATCAATAAAAATCCACAAATAAACGCACTTGTGTCATTAAAAAATAATTCAACACCACAAGAAAAATCTGCAAATTTTCAAAAACGAGAAAAATCCCAAGTAAAGAAACTAACCCTGACACCGACACGGCCTAGCGATAAAAATTCCACGAACATAATGCGATACAGTTGTTACGTGTGTCGCAGAATTAGTCATAGTTTCGCCCAGCACTGTGCCCACATTCGTACCCACACGGTTTAGGACTATTTTTTGCCTTGTCCACCATTTCAAACAGAATATGATCTTGACATTTACGCATATGATGACCTACAAATATGTACATATTTATGTAGGAGAAAGTGAGAGACAAATTAACACGAGGTTTGGACATTATTAAAATAATTAAGGAAATCGAAGGCATATTGCTTATAAGCATATTTACATATCATGGCTGACGTTGTAAAGTAATTTTTGACTTTATTAATTAATTTAATATATCTTCATCATTTTACATATGTACCCATGTAAAAATATTAAAGTTACTGATATTTGTGTATTTATATAAATTATGATATATTGTTAAATGTATTGTTGCGTAATTATGTGGATATGCATACAGCATACATATCACAATTATTGATTCGTTGAAAATATTGTGCTTGGTGCTACGTAGATTTTGTTTTTACAAGTACGAATTATCAAATGTGCAGGAAGAAATATTTAATATGTGTAAAATTTAGTTTGATAATCGTGATATGTGTGAAAATTTTAAAATAAATGTTTTCTCTTATTATCTGGCAGGTTATTTTCAATGACATTTATATACATGTAAGCCTGGTTTATTAGTAACAGCTATGAAACCTATTATCTCCAGAGGTTTCGAAGTAAACAGCTACTGTTACAGTGGGCCCAGTAAGTAGTACAAGAGGCATTTCATCCATTGAGTAATACAATTTTACTTAGGCTTCTATATTTTATTATGATTTTTCATAAATTATTACATAAACATATATGTAGACAAGACGGGCACGTTGAGATGAAAATTTGTATTTATTTAACCAGTCGTGTTCCCTGTAGGGGCCAAGTTAGGCAGTGGAATCCAGATTCCTGGGGGAACTGTTGACCAGAAACATTAACAAAAATTTAATTAAAATCAACCCTACTTCGCTAAATGTTGTGCTATTCCATGAAGTTTAACTTACGCCACTTTGCATCTGAGTTTGATCCTGGGGACGAATCCTGAAGAAGAAAATATTTTATTCAATTTAAATTTCATAATTTGAAACAGCACAGGTTTTGATAAACTTACACTCATGTCGTGTCCCTCCTGGTGTAAACTGGTGGCATAAACGGTAGCGAAAACAAGTGCCATGACGGCCAAGAGCTTGATGAAGTTGTTCATCGCCATGATATGGATGTAATTATTGAATTAGTATTGGATATTTTTTTATGTTTAGGAGCGTTGAATTTCTTCTACTGCTTCTGTTGGATGGTGGTCCTACTCTGATGATATTTCGATAGGAATCGCAGATTTTATACCCGTCAAGTACTGCAGGGTTTAAGGTATGAAAATTATGTACATACATTCACAGGCACGTTTATTTAATTTTCCTTGTTTGGTGTCATCCTTCCTCGTCTAGACAACCTTCTCGTCCGGGAAAGGCTTTAGTTAGTTAAATAAGGTTGACCTTTTCAGGTGCAGTTGCGCAAATAATTTTGTGGTTACATCTAGTTTTCATATACTTATCATTTAAATATGTATGAATGGGATTGTAAAATTAAGGTGTTTACATCCGTATTATTAGTGAACAATTTAGAAATAAAGAGCCAACATAAATAAACGTGTATGCCGATTTGCAGAAAATAACAGAGACTTTCTGATTCGGAAGATAAATAAATTATGTAGGTATGCAAATTGATAAGGTTGATTTTAAGTTGTAACGAACCCAAAATCAAGGTATGCATGAGCAAGCATGATGAATTAGAATGAGAATATGTAGATACACATAGGTACTTAATAATTTGAATGCACGGAAGTTTAATCCAAGTTCAAAGAAAGATTTTTGATTTTATTTATCGAGCTTTCGAGCTTTAATCGATGTATACACATTTTAAACATATTTTGAGAAAAATATTAGGGGTAGTCAAGGGTAGCGATTATGTGGATTATAATCAAGTTCACATTACATTAATAATTGGGTCATACATAACTACATTACATAATTGGGTCAAAATTCTTCATTGGGGGATTAGATTATTTTTTGCAATAAAGACACTAGTATTATCGTGTTTCCCAAGAAGCTGTTAAACAAAATCGAGCAGAAGGATCATGAAGGATGACTACAATTGCACGGTTTGCGTATTTTCGTAGCTGGAAGAAAATACAATCTATGTATGTAGTTCTAATTGATCGGAGGAATTAATCTGTCCACTCACAATTCTGGGATATATGCAATCGTAACGGATTATATGATCCACATAATGGTTTCGTTTTGACTGCCCTGTATTATTTATGACACCATGAAACATTGCCAAATGATAATACATAGAATCAGCTTTCCTTTGCTTCTGAAAGATAACACAATTCCCGAACTGGTTGAGGTCGTTAGTAAAAAATGACTACACAGCCCGAAATCTATTTTTGCATTGTTGGAGATTGCGGAGATGGTATTGATATGTAGAGGAACAAATTTAGCGAGAAACATATTAAAATTAAATTCAGACATGTCAAAGTAATTTTATGATAAATTAAGAAAAAGTTCATTAGTGGTATATATAAGAAGCTCATTTCAACAATAAATTATTTATTTACTTGGGCTGATATATTGTTTATGTTATTATTTTGCATAAATTACTACGTAAATATGTAATGCCAAGTCGACCATATTGGAACGAAAATATATATTTAACCAGTCGTGTTTCCTGTGGGGGCCAAGTTAGGCAGTGGGATCCAGATTCCTGGGGGAACTGTTGGCCAGAAATATTTAAGAAATTGTATTAATTTAAATCCTAGTTCGCTAATTATTATGCATCCGTGTGTATTTCATGAAGTTTTAACTTACGCCATTTTGCGTTTGCGTTTGATCCTGGGGACGAATCCTTAAGAAGAAAATAATTTTATCGAAATTAAATTTCATAATTTGTAAGGGTACAGATTTTGATAAACTTACACTCATGTCGTGTCCATCCTGGTGCAAACTTGTGGCGTAAACGGTAGCGAAAAGAAGTGCCATGGCGGCCAAGAGCTTGATGAAGTTGTTCATTGCAAAGATGTAGATAATGGATTTAATTAGCAAGAGTACTTAAGGTTTTTAAGCTGAGATAAAACTAGAGTACTGTTTGCGTGTGATTCAGAGGAATGGGTGTTTCGTATCTGATGATTTTCTAGTCAAATCACAGCACTTTTATAGTAAGGTTATTTTAAAAGGGAAGTTGAATAGCTTGCAGATTGAATTTACCTTGTTTGCGTTTGTTGTCGGAATAACCTTCTCTCAGATCTTGGGCAGTTGATCAAATACGGAAGTATTAGTTTTCATGACCACCTGACCTCCATGTTGACATTTGCATGCATATTTCACATAGTTGCCTGTATCAGTCTTCTGGATTAATATGACTCGTTCCAAAAATCGCCAAAATCAGCACATTTTTAATCATTTCTCTGCTCTGGGAATTTATTTTGAAATTAAAGTCGAGTCGAGTTTAATTGAATGACACCGAGTTTTTTCAGTCAGTTTCAATAAGTTCCAGTTTTTCTGAAGGCTAGAGATCCCCTCCTTCAAAAAGTGTCAAAATCTGGAGTGCATGTTTTTTTTGTAATTGGCAGCGACCTGCCCTACAAACTTGTAGTCCAGAATTTTAAAGTACATAAATTTCCAGAGGGGATAAATGTGTTGATTTTGATGATTTTGGTGATGAGCCTTCGAGGCCTACGTAACATGTTAAGTAGTTTTAATATAAATAGCACATCTAATTATGTGTTTACGGACTTATGAAGGCTGACATGAAATGTCACAATGTAAATATAGCCTGAAATTGAGTTTGATGCTGACACTAATAATTTTGTGGGTTTGAATTATTTAAGAATTCCGGAAAACTCCTTAATAACAAAAGATTTTCATACGTGGTAGATACATTGTTTTTGCAAGCCAACTCATAATTCCGCATTAATTCAGGGACATGAATATGCATATACTAACATATAAATACATTCGTATTTAATGCAGTACCTACATCACGTATTAATGATTAGGTCGATATAATATAGTATAATAATTCACAATTCTATAATTCACAATATAATGCCCTGAATTTAAGGAATTGCCCAAGTGACTAACTATAAATGTCAAACCGTACACATTATCTGAGCCAGGCAATGTAAGCACATCTGGTGCAAATGACTTCTCCATAATTTTTGCCCCTTGATTTGTAAAAATTTTCAGATTAACGAATAGAGTTCTTGACGCCAATACTATATTAGATTTGAAATTAACTAACCCTGACAATTTACACATCTCACAGAGATATTCTTGCTGACCGGTGAAATGATTATTCACGCACTCTTGTAAGTTTTGCGTTGACCTACCGATCGATAGAGTAGTACAGGCTTCATTTCTCGTGCGTTTACTCCCACAAGTGCACATAACCTCAGTTTCAATCGTGGAAACATATTCCTCTAGGGATAACCCAGAGTTGCTTAAGTTCTGCAGGAGGTCAAGAACAAATAGATGAGGATCATCTTGCATTCCAATGGGGTATGATGGCATGCATTCAACTAACTGCAGCCTGGTAGTTCTGAGGTAACTCAGTGGAACTGGACTAACTAATGCCTGGAAGAATCCTATCAGACAACGAGATAGCTGATCTTCATTAACTTTCAGAAATTCTTGAATGGAATGAGATTCGTATAATAAGTGAAGAATTGTATTAATATAACATGTATTTCCTAAATTTGGAATGCCGAGATGAATTGAAGGGGTTGGTTCGCAAATTACATCGTCTGTGGACAAATTTTCGTCTATATCCATTTCCACGGTTTCGTCAAATGGTCCAGTTTCACTTATACCTACCTATATTTGTTCAGTTTCTGAGGTACAATTTTGTGATTCAGAATGTGATGGCAATATATCTATGTCGTTTGACCAAGTCACACAAATTGGTTTATGATAGCTAAAATAGCTTTCGTAGAACCAAGCTGAAACGCCATAAATATTAGAAAAACATGCATCGATCGATGTATTTCCGTCTGTACTAATTTCAAGAGGAGTTACTAATCGGAAACCCATTGAAGAGAAAACCTGTCTCATTTGACATCCATCCTTGGCTAGGAAATTCAGGTTGAAGTCACCGAAAACAATCACTGGAGTACCTTTTGTGCTGTTCAGAAGATTTCTAATGTCATGTAGAAAAGTTAGCGTACTATACTGAGGACTACGGTATAACATACAAATTCTAACATCGTTCTGTTTCCATTGAACTATTTGCAAATGTTTTGTGGCACTTAAATTTCCATTTGAGTATTGAAAATCTGATATACTTGGAGAGTACGAGTCACATCTAAACACCAGTGTTCCAATAGATGACTGGATTGTCGGCGAGTCTACTCGATGCAAAATAGAAAATCCTGGCAGTTCAACCATATCTGAAACCAATGTTCGAGTTTCACAAAAGCACAGAATATCAGATGCCATATAATTTCTGTCAGCAAGAATATCCTCATAGTGTGCTCGGAACGACTGAATGTTATGGAATACAATTCTATTAGGATCTTCTTGGTCTGGTAAATATCTCAGAGAATATGGAAATGGCAATTTTCGCAATCTAGTGAGCTCCAATGCCACGGGATGTCTTAAAGTGTCGATTGCACGTGGTGCATTAAAAGTCCCGCTAATGAATAATCCTGATAAAGAAGGTGCCCGACTCATAGCTACATATATCGCATCCCTTCTCAATCCTCGAGTTGGAATATTAGCAACCGTATTTGGGATTGACAGACTTTGTGATTTATGGATTGAAATGGCATTAGCAGCAACCAGGGGAATTTGACGGCGAACAATTTGCATTCCTTGATAGTGCCCAAAACTATTTAATGCCTTGGTCTCCGAAAAGATCGGGGTCCAATGCAGAGGAATTTCTAATTGTTTGAGTAATGCCAGGTTATTTGCCCTTGCCAGTTGTCCTACCAATTTCTCAGAGAATTCCATAAATACAATTTTTACAGCCTTCTCTCCGTTAGTTAATGGCTTCTCAATTACTCTCATTAGTTTTCCTGTAGCACCATTAAACAATCCGTCAGATACGTCAATATTTGTTGTGATCATATAACGAAGGCCGACTCTTAATGCAACGTGGTTCCTCCGGTTTGCTGCAAACTTAAATATTCGGCCGACTCTAGCATTGCTTGTTGGGACGCCATGACCTTTCCACCCTGAACTCTATCTATTGCATATGAATTGTATAATGGACCCTTTGCTCGATTTATCGCTTCGCGATTAAATTTATCGCAATCAGCGTTGCTGTAAAACAACCATGTTGCATCATCTGGAACAGTTAATTTTTTTCCGATTTCTCGACTCTTGAACATTTGGATATCTTCCTCTTCAAGCATTCCTATGGACAGCCTGTTTAATGCAGTTGCAAACTTGGCGTCATCTTTTTGCCTCATGATTTCCTTAAGTTCAAATAATCTAAATCTCTCCCAGAGTGGATTTCCAATGATCGGACCTAAAATTTCCTTACTATCCTCGAAAACAAATTGTCCAAAGACTGGACTCAGCTGGTAAAAGTCACCTACGACCAACGCACTAACCCCTCCGAACAATTCGTCGACGCCTAAGATTTGCCGTAATCTTTGATCAATTTGTGTGAACATTTTCAAGCTAACTAAGGAAATCTCATCAATTATCAAAACTTTCAAAGCCTCAAACTTACATCTCAACGTATTACACGAACCATGATCGAGTGGAGTCATTTTTCCTCCGTATTGATTTGGTGGGAGTCTAAATGCAGAGTGCAATGCCATACCGCTAACGTTAAATGCAGCTTTACCAGTTGCTGCTGCTACTAGCACAGGAATTGCTTCACCACTTAATCCAGGTTCCTTGTCTGACATCCTTAATATGCACTGAACTATTGCAGTAATTAGTCTACTCTTTCCTACACCGGCCTGCCCATGAATTACGTGGAAGTTTTGTCCGGATCTTCCTTTCATATTATGCAAAAGGTTCAGTAAATACTTCCGTTGACCTTCGTTCAAAGTTTTCAATAGCTGGAGGTAATCGTCTGTTGGTATCAACTTTGGAGGACGAATAGACATAAATTTAGAAGAAGTAGAATTCCCTAACTCAATCGCAAAATCTTGATCTTCTGCAATGAATTCGATTGGATTATGATCAAGCAAATCATTGTCAAAAGTTTCCTCGTCTTCCTCTGCCATACTCAGTCCTACCTCTAGTTCATTCTCAAGAAAACTTGGATCATATATTTGCCGCTTTTGTGTAATTAGATCCAAGCTGTTTTGATACACAGAAAGATGATCAATATCAAGAAGATCTTTGCTTTCATCCCGCCATGGTACATACAGCATAATTTGTTCCCTATAAAAATTTTCAGGATCTTGATAGAGGCCGAATCTGCGATATCGAATAATTCTAGAAGTTACTCTCCTAGTTATGCACCCACTATTATCAGTCAAGCTTAATGCAGTTGTCGGTAGATTAGTTTGCTTCCGCCGAGGGCATGATAGTTTCGTGAAGTTATAGTTTGCGACATAATCAGCTAAGCAAAGGTCATCTAATTCCCTCGGCCGCACAACATAACGCTCTAAAATTCCTTTGAGTGCTATATCGCATGAATCAGGATCCATTTTCTCCATTTCGTCTGCAGGCTTGACGAAAATTACCCCTGTCGTCCGGTCGATTTGTATTGATGAATGTGACATCACGTGAACTTTGTGTCATTGGTATTTTTAATAAACAGCAAGCGGCCTCTTGAGCGGATACCTCTGAGGATTTTGCAAAAGCATTGGCAAATGAACTTAAGCGTTCTTTCAAACTAAAATTACCATCCCTGATTTCTTTGCTAACTTGTCGTAAAAGTTTCGACACGCCTCGATCTGACTTGCTTATATAATTGACAACGTAAGTCGCGCACGCGTACGGGTCCAACACATATTGAATGTCGATATTTACGCGCCAACATAGAAGAAGCTTCCTATTGTATGCATTTATATAAATTTCATGGGTTCCTCGCCGAAGAAATACTTTGGGAATTCTTAGGTTGGAACGAACTGAAAGAATGTAATTTTCTTCAGTCCGATCCATCTCTTGAAGAAAAGTATCAAAGTTAATTTCTTCTTCATGTCGCCCAAATGTGGCAAGCTTTTCTTTAATAGTGACAAATTGTTGTTTATATAACTTCACTTGATCCGGAGGTAGTGGAAGTAATATTCTAGTCGTCCTCATGGGTGGAATTGGAAAACCGAATCTGCATCCTCGCCTTTTGTCTTCGCAAGTATGGGAATGATTATGAATTTGATATGCCAGGACCTCCTTTATGTCATCGGCTTCATCTTTTCTACAGGTAATGAATTCATCTATGAATGCACAGCAAGCTTGGTGAGTTAGGGAATTTTCTCTGTCAAACTTCGGAGCATCCTTAATCCAATCCATTCTGTGTGTGTGTATTGACCCGCGTTGTTGAACCTCTTTCCTTTTAAAGAAGTCCTGGTGTACATAAGGATGAAATATTCCACCCACGGGCTTGATCAAGAATTTATCCATTGCCTTCTCTCGCCTGTCGTAAGCCATGACACACCCTATAGGGTCATGTCTTATGAGATCTGCTTTAGCATCGAATGTGAGATTGGAAACTTCTTTATCTGTTAGCTCAGTCCCATACTTTTTAGTGTGAAGCATTGAAATCAACTCTGGCCATTTCGTCTCTGCAGCTGATGTTGTAATAAAAAATGTTGGGAGTCCTAATTGACGAATCAGAGCCATCACATCCTTTTTCTTTTCTTCTAAATATGAAGGAGAGTTCACAATGTTTGGCAAAAGTCGATACCCATCATCGTGTTGAATTATGCTCTGGACACATTCCTTGTTAAGTAGATTGCCAACAGTCACGATCCCACGTTTTTTCTTTTTTCGAAGACAGATGTTGATGTTACTAGCAATCCTGTGAGTTTGGACCAGTCGGTAGCTATATAGGATTTTGTCCGCTCTTCTGCAACGTGGGTCAAATCGGCGAAGTTCTGACTTTGCAATATCAGTGTATGACAAATTAGCTTCTGGATTCAATTTTCGTTTGATGCCGCAGTAAATGGATGGGAAAGATAACTCCTTGGCGTCGAGATCCATTAGTAAAGACAACGGGCGCATTCCTTCACCAGGTGCCACTGCCATGATTAGTTGATCTTCTTGCATAAGAGTTTCCGTTAACGGTGCATCATTATCTTCAGTTTCGGCTTTGTCACTGATAGAGAGATCTTGAATGTTTTCTATGTCTGTATCACTTGCATCGCTTGGATTTACTATATATTCTACTGTGTCTGTTGAAACACTATTAGCCCAGTCTGACGAAAGAAACACCTTTTCCTTTTTATACAATTCTGTACGTACTAAATAATTAGCGGCATGAAAAACTTTATGTGGTCGAATTGTTTGGAACATATATGGATGCTTATAAGACATGCGGCGCTTCAATTGAACCTGCACTGTACTAGTCTCATCGAAACTGCGGGGAATAACTTTGGCGACTATGTCCATGTCGTTTGGAACGTTTACTACTCCCCCTCGGATTCCGTACTGACGGTCGGTCCCTAAGGATCTAATCTGAGCAAACGGTAATCTTAATGCCACTAAACGTTCCTCTAAACTTGTCATATTCTGTAATTGATGTGGAATTGGAGGAAAATACAACCCGTTTGACATACACAACCGGGGCACGTCACCACTCTTCAACGAATCGTGACATGTGCCGCATAAGAAGTACTTCCCATCGACTTTTAGATGGGCAAAAGGATTAAGATTAGGATTAAGATTAGGATTAAGATTAGGATTAAGTTTCCGCACGACTTCTACTGTTGTTGGATGCATAGATGATCGATACCATAACCCTCCACACGAACCACATATCCATCTCGGTTGATCAAGTATCTCACAATGGAAAGATTTACATAATGCATCAAAATTAGTCTGAGCCGCATGACGTGAAATTGCTTTTTTAATTGTGTTCTGCTGTTGTTCGGCCTGTTTGTAAGTTTCGTCTTCTCGGCGCCTGGCATGTTCCATCCGATTCCGCTCATTTTCCGCTTCGCGATAGTCCTCGTCTTCTCTGCGGGTAGTATGTTCTATCCGATTCCGTTCATTTTCCGCGTCTCGATAATCCTCGTTTCCTCGGCGGGTAGCATGCCTCATCCTGTCTAGTTCTTTTTCGTCTTCACGATAAGACTTGTCTTCTCGGCGGGTAGCATGTTCCATCCGATTCCGCTCATTTTCCGCCTTGCGATAGTCCTCGTTTTCTCTGCGGGTAGTATGTTCCATCCGATTCCGCTCATTTTCCGCCTCGCGAAAATCCTCGTTTCCTCTGCGGGTAACATGCTCCATCCGATTCCGCTTGTTTTCGTCTTCACGGTACATGTCGACTTTGCGACGCTCTGCGTGTGCTGCTGTGTCTCGTTCTTGCTCTTGGTGTCGAATGTTTGCATCCATCCTACGCAATTTCTTGGCTTCAGCATTTCTTTCGACTTCTGCTCGACGGAACTCTTCATTCTCCCTTTTTTTCTTAATCCTTTCTTTTTCACTAAGTTTGCGAGGCATTATGCTGCCAGTGGTTATGCGCGCTAATTCACGTACCTTTTGATAAGTCACGCCCCCTGATAAGTCACGCCCCCCGATAAGTCACGCCGCTTGATAAGGCACACCGCTCGATAAGTTACACCGCTCGATAAGTAACACCGCTCAATAAGTCACGCCCCCCGATAAGTCACACCGCTCGATAAGTCACGCCCTCCGATAAGTCACGCCCTCCGATAAGTCACGCCCTCCGATAAGTCACGCCCTCCGATAAGTCACGCCCTCCGATAAGTCACGCCCTCCGATAAGTCACGCCCTCCGATAAGTCACACCGCTCGATACGTTGCTTTTGAGTTGCTTCCCCGAGGAAATTTGCGTATTCAGTAACAATTTTTGGAAAATTCAATGATAAATTCATAGAAATTTTTCGTGCTCATGAAAAATGTTGATGTTCATTTTATGATGTTTGTTTTATGCGCATGAAATCATCATAGTTACAAATGTTTTAAATTAAGTGACGTAATTTCTATGAATTTTTCTACATGGCTCATTATGTCGTAGTATTGCAGGGCGAGCTACTTTTAACGTTACTACGGTTTATTTATATTTACTTACTTGATTCAATTGAGATGTATTACATATATGTACATGCGAGTACATATTTATGTACATTCGAATAAATACTGTATTATGAATTCGTACACATAAATACATTAAATTTGCGTTAGTTCACAAAAAAAGTAATTAAATTACATTAGGTAATTAGGATCGTCCTTGGATTATCCAAGGATTATCCAAGTTGGATAAGTTGTGCATTTCGTAAAAGTTTGAAAAGCAATTATAGAAAAGTAGAAAACCATCAAGGTTTTGTGGGGGCAAGATCTCGTGCGGGTGCTGCCTCTGTGACGCCGTGTCTGTGGCGTTACGGGTAGACGGGACGATGCCGTGAAGAGAGGGGTGTCGTCAGGAAATGAGGCAAACTCCCACAAGAAAACTCCCACAGTAGGGGCAAGAGCGTCGATGGTAGAGCAGGAAAACTCGCCAAGGGAAATTTACACCCCTCGAGTTATACAGTTTTATGTAGGTCACGAATATGCACTCGCAATATGTATGGAGAGAAAGGCCGGAAATACTGTTCAGTACTATGACGCCAAAATAACTATGTCGTTGCACACGGGTTGAGAGTTATTTCATAATACACAAAGCGGAGACTGTTTATTTATACGGAGCAGGATAGCAATTTATAATTGGTAAAGAAATTGGTAAGTGTGTATATTTTTAGGAAACTTATGTGTGTAACTTTGGGGAATATAATTGTACAATTGAGTGGATACTTAATAGATATTAGGTAGGGAATTTATGTGTGTGAGACGTGGAGGAGAGAAGTTGTTCCTCCGATGGCGTCCCCGTATCCACTACCTTCCAGTTGGTAGTGGACGGGCTATTTGATGAAGGTTTGGCCAAGGAGACGATGTCCTTGGCCACATGAATGTATAATCTATGAGTCGATGTCCGGTCGTTTGGAAATGAGGAGATGTGGAGACGGAGAAGGGAGATAACGGAGGGATGGTGCATGTTGCATGTGACATCCCTTCAGTTTGCAGTGATCTGAGAAAATTGTTCCATAAATATTATTAAAACTAAAAGTTTCCCAATCAGTCATCAAAATATTCTTCCTTCTTTAAATCCGGTAAAAATGCATAGATATTTATCGATTTACGTATCTATTTACGTAGTGATTCGTCCAACTTCTATTCCACATTTCATCTGGGTGAGTCCAATTATTCCTATTTGATCGGGGAGAAGGTGCACATCGACAAAACGCTGGATTACTTTATGTTGTACTGTCAGAAAAATCCGACCTTGACATCTCTCAAGCTTGCAAAGTTTTTCACAATTATTAGCTCACCCTGCCTAGCATGAGAGCTATTGAATTCCCCTTGTCTGTCTGTCCGTCTGTTAACGAGTTTTTTGCATCAATTGATGCTAATTAAAAATCCCCTTGACCATTATTGGATAAGTTCGGCGCACCATTGGTATCGAATAATCCGTGGCGTAAATGGTGCGAATTAATTGTGCAAGTACATCGAGATAGGACTATAATTATGGAATAAGTAGCACCATTAGCACCGAGCAATTGGTTATTAAAAATGATGCGTAACAATTGGGCCCTTTATTTACCCCCAAAAATCAATGAGGCGTAACAATTGGACCATCTATTTCCCCCCAAAAATCTGTTCTATTTGTTCGATTTTTCTGCACCATTGACGCTAAAATATATAAATTTTATAATAAATAATTTGGAAAGGGATGCCATACGCACCAATGATGCAGAATGTCGGGATAAGGAACCATACAATTTTTTCAAAGTTTTCAAAATTATGTATCCCGTTGGTCGCTAATGTTCCACTAGTGGTGCAAACTATTTTCGTATTTTTTTAATTTTTCCGTTTATATTACACCATTGGTGCAATAATCTATGAGAGTTATAATCTATTTTGTCGCCTTATTCCGTACCTTTGGTCGAAAGTTATATGGAAATCATTATGACAGGGTGAGCTACTTCTAACGTTACTACGGTTTATTGATCCCTGGATTTGGTCTGGCTCCATTTTGCTCTCCTTCCTCCTAGGAATCACAAAATTAGGCGGATTTACAGATGTTGCCACCACATTTCTAAGACAACCAATACCAAACGGGTAATTGTCTAAATATGTTGATAAATTTGATAAATTTTATTATTTATTATCATCTCTATTTTTGATATTTTTTGGTCAAATAAATAATCTACGTAATCCAATTCCAGGAAAAATCTTACATGGATTGGACTCCTCGATTTATTGGCCACGATTTCGTTAAACAATTCGTATGAGGCTATAATCACAACGGATATTACGACGCCTCTCGAGAAATATGTCATCGCAAATGTGAACTTTTGGAGGAATTTGGTTTCAAATTCAACCCAACTTACAGTGGCATAAATAATACACGTTGGCGATTTTCGCTACGAAAGTTGAACCCACCCGATAAGTACATTTGGACAGAAGGTATGATATCTCATAAACAAATGTACATAGATATGTACTTATGGGTATAATATGTATTGATAATATAGTCAGCGTACAACCTCAACCATCACGTGCTCGTATCCTTCCCATACTATTAGTATGGTAGGGATACGAACGCGGGAAGCAAATTTTGGTCGAGGTTGCATGATGGCCATATCATGTAGGTACGAATACCAAAGGGAGGGCGGCCTGGTGGATACGAATTTGACCTTGAATAACCCCGGAACGGTTTGTCGTAGCGGGTCAAAATTTTGAACAGACGAGCATGTTATCCTCAGATAGTTGTGTGCAAAATTTCAGCCTTCTACTTTGAAAAATGCCTGCCCCACAGCCCCCAGAAGCTGAGACAGTCATTTCAAATAGTTCCAGAAAAAATCTCGCCCGTGTTTGCAAAAAATTTTATTTGAATATTCTGTTGAGGAATAGAAGTGAGCTATTGGTGACAATTGACGAAGAACTATTTTCCCTACAAGTTACTAATTGGGTTCGAAGAGCTTACTACACGACAAATGCCGAAAAAAAATTCAAGAAATTTGGTGCTTTTCAGTGAGGAGAACTTTTTTAAACAGTTGATGGTCGTGGGTGCAATGTCCTGTCGTGGTGTCCTCCCACTTATCAAAGTCCCCCAAAAAGTGAAGGAATCCTCGAAGTATTATGTGGACCTTGTACTGAAACCACTTTTAGAATACAATTTTCCTAATTTGCACGGTAAAATAATAATTAAGGTAATTTTTATCGTGACGCAGCGTCTTCCCAGACGATAAAGTTGACCCAAGATTATGCAAATGACCTTGAACCTAGATTGGGGATAAAAATCATTTGGAATAGTGAAATACCTATACAATCCCCTGATATAAGTCAAATCGACTTGTTTGAGTTCGGATAGATGAAAAGAAAATCTTTCTGTGGGGACCGAATTTTTTAGACGGAGTTTGCAAAAAGTTGAAACGAGTGTCTCAACTTCTGGGGGCTGTGGGGGAGGCATTTTTGAAAGTAGAGAGTTGAATTTTTGCACACAACTATCTGAGGATAACATGCTCTTCTGTTCAAAATTTTGACCCGCTACGACAAACCGTTCCGGGGTTATTCAAGGCCAAATTCGTATCCACCAGGCTGCCCTCCCTTTAGTATATCATGTGCCCATAATCTTATAAGTATCTGTGTACCCGTAGTGCCCATCCCATTAAGCCGATTCTAAAAATAAAATTTTCGAAAGTTTGAGATTACAATAATGCAAAAATTTTCAAAATTGAAATTTTTACTGAAAGTTTCAGCGAGTGAAAAGAAAGCATTTCTCGTATTTTCGGCCGATTTGAGTGGGCGTGAAGGGCGTAAATGTGGAATCAAGCCACTTGTGGGTTTTAATACACTAACTGCAACAACTTATCACAAGGGCAACTTCACCATTTACGAATTACAGAATAGTATCTGTTTTCAGAAATTTTCTGGAAATATACACACTACACAGAACAGTCCGGCACTTCGCCGACCAGATTGCTTTCGAGGCCGGTTCCGACTACATCCAGAGAAATTTACATTTTCTCAAAGGGAAATACACCAGCATGACTTGCAACATTGTGAAGGAAAAGTATTACGAGGAAAACATTATCTTCAAGTTTCGATACTTTGGATCAGAAGGTTTTTACAGAAATTTACAGTCGATAACTTCCACCGGGATTTCCCTTCTGTACGCAAGGCTTTGGAAATTCGTAGATGAGCGAAATATCAGACTACACCCCCTCCCAGAACAGGAGGGCACTGGGGCCTTGGAAAATCTTTTTGTCGCCTTTCAGCTTTACATTGCTTTCATTAGTTTCCCAGCCTGCACAAACACGAGATTAACATGAGTTTTGAACGAGTTTGGTGACCCCAGTATTCGTGTTAAACACGTATGAAACTGGTAGAGAGCTGGTGTTAAACTGGGGGCAAGTGTCGCTCTTTTTAACGTATCTAACTCGTTCTTTACACGTGTTCCAAGAACGAGTTTCACACCACATCGACGAGATTTACCCCAGTAAAACACGTATTTAGCCACGAGATTTACCCCAAAAAAACACGTATTTAGCCACGAGATTTACCCCAAAAAAACACGTATTTAGCCACGAGATTTACCCCAAAAAAACACGTATTACAACATGAAAATTTACGTTCACGATTTTTATTTCTTTATAACTTCTATATTATTCTACAAATTTAGACAATTAAATGAAGATGAATTTAGAAGGTACCAAAAGTAAATTAAAATTTATAGAGTATAAATTAATCGTCGGAGTTGAATCCAGCAATGACGGATGGATGATTTGCATTGGATTTTGCCAAGCGTTTCCTGCTTAAGCAGTTGAAAATGTTTACAATTCTTAATTTTAAAATTACATATAAATAAATCCTGCTGTCTTCGTACCTGTCAGATTCAATACGTTTATTGGAATTCTTTAGCCAATCTTTAATAGCGTTTGAAATCTCGTCGTCGCCAGCGTCGCTCAATTTCGGGATTCCATGAATCGCTTCTGAAAAAGAGTGACCAGTTACAAAAATTTATCTTACACACTAAAGTAGTAACATATTCATGAAAACTACCAAAAATAATGTGTTTCATCAAAGACTTCGAAAAAGCTGTCTTTTCTCCTCTCGAACCAATCCAGTTATATGAAGACGCATACGTATCCGTCAACAATTTCGACAGTATCCGCTGAGTAGCCTTCTGTGCCGTCTTTGTCGCACCTAGGCCCCTCTGCAGTTCTCGAATCTGAAAAATAAATACATAAATAATTAATACTGTATCATTAGCACTAACACCAGCAGCGATGCATTTATTACTTATCAAAGTAATTATCAAATGTGTTGCACGTAATATTCTACCAATGTGTTCCTGGATTCCGTCGCAAAATCTTCGAGTTTTTTTAAGTCGGAATCGCAATCCACAGGTAATAATCCAGCTGGCAACGTATTTAAACTTTGACCACCACCCTGTCCGTTCAAATTGCAGCTATTGAGCAAGGCGTCCACACATTCTTGTAGTTGTCGCAATTGGGCTTTCACAACATTCATTTGTCTAACCATCCAGTTTTGAAATTCTGCAGAAAAATATTTACAAATCTTTAGCTTAATAAGACCGTGTCGAGTCGCGTTATTCAAATAATAAATTTCTTACCTATATTTGCAGAGATTTCCTGATTTATCTCGACCTGCGTGTCGATCTCCACGCTATGGTTGCTCGAAACATTGACCAATTCACCGGTACAATGTTGACGCAGCATGTTATTTGGGGAGAGGTCTCTCATTTGACCATGTGGTGATGGGGAGTGGAGTTTGTTAAAGGTCAATGAATTTGCTGACCTGGAAGTAATTTCCTCATTTTCTTGCTGTGAATGGGAATCACTTACTGGTGGTGAGTGACGCGGTAGATGAATAGAGCTGCCTGATTCATGGTCATCTTGACGGTCTGAACGTTGCGATATACCTCCAACTAAAGCTAAATACCAGTAGAATGTGCAATTATACATAACAGAATAAGCAGACGGAGCAACAAATTATATGATTTCACATTATGATGACTAACCAAAATATTGTGGTGGGGGCGGAATTGAAAAATTCGGCTTTGATGGTATTTTAGTAAGTCCATCTTCTCTCTCCGAATCGCTTGACTCTTCCTGACGCTGACTTTTCTTGTGACGTTGCCCACGACCTGTCACTTCGAAATCACTTTCAAATTCCGGTTCGGTTTCATCCAAGGCTTTGCCAAGCTGACTCTTGGCTTGTTGGTATGATTCTGAATAGAAAATAAATTTATTTTGTAAATATTTTTCACGACTACAATAAAAAGGAGACTCACCAAATATTTTACCTCCTCCAACAACCTTCACGTCGAATGATAACCATTGTTTACTTGGATTGTCTCCACCCATAGCGGCCTTCAATTGGCGTTCGGTAGATTTAAATGGCGGCCACCAGCATTTATCTCTTGATGGTGACAACCAATTTATTGGGATAATCTCTATCTCGTTAGTTTCAATAAAATTTACTATAGAAAATCGCATGGTAAAAAGTCACTGGATTGCACTGTGAATTAGAGGATAACAAATTAATTCTGTTTCCAGTGGAAGAAGTACACACTTTGTTTCAACTAAATTAAGGTCAAATCTTCTTATATTACTCAATTCTTTCACAATTTGCACACCAATTAAAGATGATGGACACGGAGAGTGAAAAAAATCTTCGCTTCTTTTAAACTTTTTCCCAATTATTTCTGGAGGAGAAGATCGAACAAAATAGTGGATTTTTACTTCCGTCACTTCCGTCTTTTAACTTGCAAATATTATTTCCTGGTTTGTCTGATAGTTCAAAATTGGTAAATTTGCACACTCTAAAACACTCAGATCTCTCACTTGAATTAGTTTCAACCTGGCAAAATTTTAGTTGTTCATATTTTTCAACGTGGTCAGCCAACTCAACTTCTTCTCTTTCCATCAACCGCCGGCAAACTTGTTGCAAGGGGTAAGATGGAGATCTGACCAATCTCTTTATTTGTTGTAGTTTATTCTCAAATGGAAACGCACTAAAGCGGTCAAGAGGACCGTGTCGACTGCAATCTCGAGATAAATGCAATAAACTGTGCAAATTATGACTGTAATATTTCTTTCCATACAATGAACCAAAGTTATTCACAAAATATTCTAATAGTTCCCCTGCGTAATTATTTTTGCTGAGATAGGTGTTAGGATTGGCAAGAATTGCAATTGCAATGTGAAAACATAAGAAATGTTGGTAAAATGGCAGAGGAAGAATTGTTTTCAACACTACAGGACCAGTGTATAAAATAAACTGCCTAAATTCGGTTGCCTTCCAATGATCTACATCCCTAATTGGACGCGGTTTTCGTGCAAATTCCTTTGGTATTGACTTCTTGATATTTAACAAATTAATGGATAATTGGTCAATTTGATGAGTGTTCAATTCGTAGTTATAGCTTAGTAGAAGATAAGTTAAAATCAATTGTAAAGATATGAATTGGCCTATCCAGTAATTTTTATAGCGTATTTTTTAAGTAGGTGCTATGTAGATACGCATTCCATATCCTATGTATGGCAATATCCTTTGTATGGCAATATCCTTTCTATAAGGTGGTTGAGGGATTCGGATAATGAGTAAGTGTAAGTGGGAGAATGAGAAGATAAGGGGCGCGATGGTTTTGGTAGTCAAGAACTACGTATTTTTTAAGTTAGTATAAGAAAAGTATTGTAAGAAGTCAAGTTGGAATTTGTGGTCGTGCGAAGAATTAATTAAATAAAGTCCTAATTAATTAAAGTTGCTATAACTAATTACAGTATTCAAGTTCTTTATTGACTCGCCGACATTATAAATAAAGTGAAATTGTTGGGACTAAAGTTCTAAGTTAAAAGGGCACATCTAGGCATCCAAGTTAATTAAAGTTAAAGTGCCCTTATCGAGCTCAATAACCAGATCTGCAGGCATATTCATAGGTGTTACGGATTCGACGGTTAGTTGGATCGACCGAGCACAACATTTTTTGGTGACCTCGACGTGATGCAGATCTGAGGAAGGTGCCTTGTGACCGTGGATGCAAAGCTGAATCGGCGAGGACCAGGAGCTTAAAAGGAGATATCACAAAATTTTGCCACCTTGTGGACCCCACCCTGAGTATTCGGGGTCAGAGCAGGTGATATCCATTTCAATTGATTGTTATTGTTCGCGTGATAAGGAGCCATCAGGATTAATTGAGATCATCCCACCACCTTGTCGTCGTGGAATATTTGTTGAATTGCCACTTTGTGGGCCCGACCCTGTGCATTCGGGGGCGATTGAGGTGGAGATTGTTCCTTGGGATATTTTGAGAGAATATTTTTTAATTGTTATTTGGGTTTATTGGTCCTGAGATTGAAGCATCACCATGGATCGGCTCAAGATGGTCAGGAAATCTGGGAGATCAGCCATTACGAAGACGGTGAACGAGTTGACGGCTGAAGTTGAAAGAGAAAACCCAGGCTTAGTGGAACTGCAGGTCTTGCTCCAGCGTTTGGAAGTGATAAGTGAGGAAGTGGAGGACTTGGACCAGAAAGTGCTCGGCTTGATGTTGGATGGTCCGTGTACTGAAGAAGAGTACGAAAATGAGAAGACGACCATCATCGGATACAAGGACAAGATTTCAAGAGCAAAAATCCGAGCAGGAAGAATTCTGAATAAAACTCCAAGTCCACCTCCAAGTTCGGCTGGAGGTTATGTGTCAGTGTTTAGTGATGCAGGATCAGGAGGAACTCAAAAGCAAAAGCGATTCAAGTTACCGAAAATTGAGTTACCAAAGTTTGATGGCGTTTTGCAGAAATGGCTTGGATGGTGGAGTCAATTTGAGAAGATACATGAACAGGAGGACCTCCACGCCAGTGATAAGTTTCAGTATCTCATCCAGGCTACTGAAAATAAATCTGAAGCAAGAGACATTGTGGAATCCTTCCCTCCCACGGGTGATAATTATGAATTGGCGATAGCAGCCCTGAAGGAGCGTTACGGAAGAGAGGATCTCCAACTACAAGTTTATTTGAGGCAGTTATTGGGACTCGTCATCAACAACGCTGGAAAGAAAGAGAAAATAGGAGTGGACAAGCTGTATTTGAAGTTGGAGTCGGCGCTACGATCCTTGAGGACCCTTAATTTGAGCAAGGCCGACCCATCCATGTATTTCTATCCCCTCGTCGAGTCCAGCCTCCCAGAAGAGATTTTGCGGGCTTGGCAAAGGAGTCCAATGTCCCGAATTGATGACGGAAGTGTTGAGAAACTGGACATGCTGATGAAATTCTTGAAAACTGAAGTACAAGGCGAGCAACAAATTGCATTAGCCCGATCTGGCTTTTCTAATGAACCCCAAAAGAAGCAAGAAAATAAGAAGAAAGCCAGCATCGCCCGAGAAGGGGAGGATGTTCCCACCGCAGCAGGATTGCACGAAGCCAAAGTGAAAGATAAGGAGTGCATATTCTGTGGGAAGTCGAATCACTCCAGCGCCGACTGTTATCGAGCCCACTCCATGTCTCTTGAAGAGAGAAGAATTAAAGTTAAGGATAGTCGAGCTTGCTACGTTTGCTTGCGCAAAGGTCATGGAGCCAAGGTGTGTCGGTCTGCAGTGAAGTGCAAGATGTGCTCAAGACGTCATTATAATTTGATGTGTCCAGATTTGTCTCAACAACGACCAAGTTCTGATAGTGGAAATCAATCGGTTGTCAATCAAGCTTCAACAGAAACTTCGTCTTATCAATCAAGTATCCAGTGTGATGGCGAAGTACTGCTGAAGACCGTGCTGGTGCGAGTTCGGAACAACAAGGAGAGCAGAATTGTACGGCTTCTATTCGACGAAGGAAGTCAGAAGAGCTACGTGACCAGCTACATCTCCAATGGCATCAAGAGTAAACCAGTTGGAGACGAGGTGGTGCGGAATGTGATGATCGATGGCTCCGTTACCAGCCCCCGGCGGTATAATAAACATGAAATGGAATTGGTCAGCGTCGACGGGAAAGTTAATAGGAAGTTACTGCTCAGGGAAAGGCCACAAATCGGAGGAATTCCACCGCGAGCAAGAGTTGGACCGTGGCTACAGCAACTTCAAAGAGACAGCATATTTATCAGTGATCATTGTCAGACTCCACTTGAAAGGGCGGACATCGACATCCTTATTGGTGGCGATTACCGAGAGCAATTGATGACAGGAAGAAGAATCGACCTCAAGTTTGGATTGTTCGCAATTGAGTCTGTGTTTGGATGGATGCTCTGCGGGCCGACCTGCAGCGTTGATCAAAGTGCAACGGAGATGGTCATCCATAGTTATTTGTCGGGTGACATCTCACAGTTATGGGATCTGGAGACGATTGGGATCCAAGAGAGTGCCACTAAGGTGTCACGTGAGGAGAACGACCTCCAGGTGAAAGAAACCTTCCAGAAGAAAGTTACCAGAGATGAAGACGGAAGGTACGTGGTCAAGCTTCCCTGGATTCACGATGATTTGAAATTCACCATCCCCGACAATAAATCAGTTTGTGAGAAGAGATTGGTGTCAGCGACAAGAAAATTGCAGAATCAAGAACAGGATCAAGTTTATGCTGACATTTTCAAGGGATGGGAATCAGAGAAGATGATTAATCAGGTTCGAGAGAACAATTCAGCGTCAGGGCATTACCTCCCGCATCGTCCAGTTTTTAAGCCAGATAGTTTGACCACTCCCGTGAGGCCAGTATTTGATGCTTCATGTAAAGTGGCCAGTTTCCCCTCTCTAAACCAGTGTCTCGAGAAAGGACCCAATATGTTGGAGCTCATCCCGTCAATTTTGTTGCGATTTCGGGAGAAGAAAGTTGGCGTCATCTCGGACATAAGGAAAGCATTCCAGATGATTGGGGTCGCAGAGGAAGATCGCAAGTATCAGCGGTTCTTATGGTGGGAGGATCTAGATTACAACATTTTGAAGATTTACGAACACTGCCGTGTTGTATTTGGGATGACTTGCAGTCCTTTCATCCTAGCCGCAGTTCTAGATATTCATTTAAGTCAAGCACCCACAGAATTAATCAAGGTGGCTGAGTTGATAAGAAAATCCTTATATGTAGACAATTGTGTCCTCTCCTTCAACCATAAAGAAGATTACATGGCGTTCAAGGAATCTTCAGTTGAAATAATGGCCGATGCGAAGATGGAACTGAGACAGTGGGAATCTAATGCAGATGAACTAATTGAAGGAAGTTATATCACCACTGTTCTGGGATTGAAATGGGATAAGAAAGAAGATGTATTGTTTTGTCAATTGCCTAAAGAGGTTGCGGAGGAGTACAAGATCACAAAGAGAAGAGTATTATCAGTGGTTTCTCAGATATTCGAACCAATCGGATATGCTTGCCCTTCACTCCTTTTGCCAAAGCTAATGTTGCAAGAGGCGTGGTCCAGAGATCTCGGATGGGACGACGAGTGGGATGAAGAAAACCGGATCCGATTTGAAACTTGGTTCACAGAGATTGACTGCCTAAGCAAGATCCGGATCCCTCGAAACGCGGTCCCTCGAACACCACGCCAAAGTGAATCATCATTGCTTCAGATTCACACTTTCACTGACGCCAGCCAAGGTGCATATGCTGCTGTCGTTTTCGCCAGAGTTGCAAATGGTAAAGATGTCTCAGTCCAACTGTTAGCAGCCAAAAGTCGAGTCGCACCCCTAGATAAGAAGCAAAAGAAACGAGTTACGATCCCCAGATTGGAATTATTAGGATGCCTCGTTGGATCAAGATTGACATCCGTAGTGAAAGAAGCACTGGGTCTCGTCGACACACCCATTCACTACTGGACAGATTCGACCACTGCCAAAGCATGGATTGAGAGGGAGGCAGATTGGGGAACTTTTGTTGGAAATCGGGTCAAAGAAATTGCAGAATTGACCAGAGGAAGTAAGTGGAGACATGTTCCAGGAACACTCAATCCAGCGGACCTGCCATCAAGAGGATGTTCACCTCAAGAATTATTGGAGTCGAAATGGTGGGAGGGACCGAGCTGGTTGAAAAAGGCCGAAGATGAATGGCCACGGTCAGCTCCACTTCCAGAAGAAGATCAGATTAATTTGGAAAGAAGACGAACCGAACATGCTGCCGTTGAGATTCAAGTGCCAAGATTCTCATCGTATTTGAAAAATGTGAAGGTCGCAGCATGGGTCCGTCGGTTTGTGAATAATGCAAGAACAAGTAAGGAATTCCGACAGTATTCCGTCTACCCAACATTCAAAGAGTTACGGGAGGGTGAGAGGGACATTGTGAGGAAAATTCAACAGCGTCATTATCCAGAGAAATTTGAAATTAAGAATTTGAAAGTGGATAGAAGAGATGATGAACTCCTCCACGTAGACACAAGACTCCTTTATAAAGAAGATACGGAGGGCTTTCGACACCCAATTCTACTCCCAAAAGAAGATCCCTTAGTCCACCAGCTAATAGAATATATTCATATGGCTTACAATCATGCTGGAACACAATTCGTGCTTGGAAAGTTGCGTGAACGGTACTGGATCATTCAAGGAAGAAAGACGGTTGGGCGAGTAATTCAGAGTTGCACTGTCTGTCGAAGATATTCAGCAAAGAGTTTAGAAAGTGACCCTGCCCCATTACCTCAAGATAGAATAGAAACGGTTGCTGCATTTCAAATCACTGGAGTTGACCTTGCCGGACCGGTGATCCTTCGAGGAGGAGAGAAAGCCTGGATCGTGTTGTACACTTGCGCAGTTTATCGCGGTGTGTATTTGGATATTGTCACGTCCTTGTCAAGTGAAGCTTTCCTCCACTCCCTGGAACGGTTTGTATCCACCATCGGTCGGCCGAAGAGGATTTTTAGCGATAATGGTACGAACTTTGTGGGCGCAGTTAACCTGATGAAGATGATTGATTGGTCAAGAATGGAAGATGAGTTGCAGGTCAAACAGATAACCTGGACTTTCAATCCACCTGCATCGCCATGGTGGGGTGGGTGGTTCGAGCGTCTCGTAAGGTCCGTCAAGGAAATATTAAGGAAGATGTTAGGGACGGCGAAGTTGTCATTCGACGAAATGAGGACATGTCTCGCGGCCGTATCCTGCACCATAAATGATCGACCTCTGACGGCGTTAACGGAGGATGGAGACGACTTAATCGCGCTTACGCCAAATATGTTCATGCGCGACCTCCCTATCGCCTGCTTCCCAGAGGGAAAAGAAATCGGTGCAAATGAATTGTGTGGATCCTACAACAAAATGCAAGCGATTAAAGAAGGACTCCAAGCCCGATTCAGAAAAGAATATTTGGGAATTCTAGTTCAAAAGAAGAGTGAAACAAAGTCAAGACCACCTCAAGTTGGTGACATTGTTCTTGTCGGGTCAGAAAACAAGAAGAGATTTGAGTGGCCGCTAGGAAAGATTATGAAGCTGTTCCCCGGAAAAGATGGAAAGATTCGAGTTGCGGAAGTCAAGATTTGCAAGAATCCCCGAGGACAGAATTTCAGTACCACTATTTTGACTCGACCCCTGCAGCGTCTGTACCCCTTGGAGATGCAGAAAGTTTCGGACGTGCCAACCAGCAAGAAGGAAGCCGTCATAAGTGTTCAAGACGACGAGGTTCCAATAAAAACTCGAGTGGGACGCCCAGTGAAACGACCCATTCGTTATGGAGAGTGGAACAATTAGTGTAATTTTGTTGAAATTCTTTTGGTTATATATATCAGCTCCCAAAAGAAGGTGGGAGAAATGTTCAATTCGTAGTTATAGCTTAGTAGAAGATAAGTTAAAATCAATTGTAAAGATATGAATTGGCCTATCCAGTAATTTTTATAGCGTATTTTTTAAGTAGGTGCTATGTAGATACGCATTCCATATCCTATGTATGGCAATATCCTTTGTATGGCAATATCCTTTCTATAAGGTGGTTGAGGGATTCGGATAATGAGTAAGTGTAAGTGGGAGAATGAGAAGATAAGGGGCGCGATGGTTTTGGTAGTCAAGAACTACGTATTTTTTAAGTTAGTATAAGAAAAGTATTGTAAGAAGTCAAGTTGGAATTTGTGGTCGTGCGAAGAATTAATTAAATAAAGTCCTAATTAATTAAAGTTGCTATAACTAATTACAGTATTCAAGTTCTTTATTGACTCGCCGACATTATAAATAAAGTGAAATTGTTGGGACTAAAGTTCTAAGTTAAAAGGGCACATCTAGGCATCCAAGTTAATTAAAGTTAAAGTGCCCTTATCGAGCTCAATAACCAGATCTGCAGGCATATTCATAGGTGTTACGGATTCGACGGTTAGTTGGATCGACCGAGCACAACAATGAGGTCGCAAGCGCCCTGTACACTTTTTTCCTTTCGACCATAAAAACAATAACTTTCTCGTCACTCCTAAACATACAAGATGCATAAAATCAACCGGCACATCTTCTACTAAATCTATAGGAAGTAATTCTATTATAGAGTCCTGATTATGATGAGCCTGGTCAAATTTTGATCGAAAAGATTCGTTATTTCTTAAATTATAATTTCCCGGAGGAAATGTTACCCGATTATCCAAATATTCGCCTTTTATGTCGCACTTTCCGCAAGAACTGTAACCACTATGACACTTTGTCCCTAAAATAAATGATCTTGCAGGCACATCACACACAATTGCAGATATTTTAAATTTCAAAACTAATGACTGTTCTAATCTAATGAATTGGTTGACAAATCTACTCAAAAAATCGTTAATATTTGCGGGCTTTCCCAGACCAGAATAAATGCCTATTACAATAACTTCATTAAATTCTACAATATTCGCTAAAATTGGCCAAAATTGTCTGGCACTGCTTTTATAGAGAGGAATTCCGTCAATATTAATTTGAATGTTGGTTGTACACTGTGCACCTTTAAGTAATTTTTCTATTAATGAAATCCACTCAAAATGTACATACTCGCCCGGTTCAACCTTTTCAATAGCACAAGTTCTTGGCGTACGTAATAGTGTCCTTGGATCGCTTGGTAAATCGAAGCCAGGACGTCGTTTTAAAATATCCAGCAGATCACTCAAAGCAGAGAAAGTAATATTATGTTTAACTGCCCATGTTCTTAAATCACTTGTACAACTGCTGGTATCAGTCTTATCACAATCACTATCACTAGAATCTGACTCTGTGAAGATATGACTATCAGAGTAGTCCGAAGAGTACAGGTCATCTGCCCCAGAAATCGAATCGAACTGCGGAGTTGCGGCCTCAGGATGAGAAGTTTTTGGGTGTGGCTTTGGCGTTGTCTGATTTTTTCGATCACCACTTTCAGAAAGTAAGGAAAAATCCGACGTTCCTTGTCTTGCTTTGCGAAATAATTTTCTAGATCGTGTCTTGTCCATACTTTTTGGTTTTATTATGTGAGACATGCAACAAAATAATTCTCCCACCTCAATAGCAAAGGGACAGTGTTTAGTTTCGCATGTGCAAAAACACTGGTAAAGTTCGTGTATTTCTCGCGATTATGACACGAGTCTCGGGTTATTAGCATACTCGAGTATTTCACGTGTTTTAATCGGGAAAATTCGTTTTGAAGATGCGGTGTAAAATTCGGTCTTTTTTCACGAATTAATTTCGTGTTTAAAAAAATATTTATACGAATAATGCACCCAACACGGGATTTACACCGGGGACACCAATATAACACGTGTTTAACTCGGTCGGTGCAGGCTGGGTTAGCTCTTCTAACAAGGGAACATACCGAGGTGTCCAACGAGTTAAGGGTCAACACCTATACCAAAATGACCACAATACATGACTTATTAAACACACTGCAGGAATTTCCGTGTAAAATTCACTTTTCGTCACGTTGTGACGATATTTGTGACGAGCGCATGACCATCGGGTTGCCAGAGAAGGAGAGGTCGGCCGCTGAACGATCAGGTCGACCACAGAGAAGCGTCGTCGTCTTCAAGTCGTCTTCCGAGACGACAAATTCTTTCAAATTTAGAAAACATCCTGATATTTTGAAAAAAACTTTGAAATTTCTTCAAAATTTCAAAAATTTCTTTAAAATTTCAAAACTTTCTCAAAATTTCAAAATTTTCTCAAAATTTTCTCAAAATTTTCTCAAAATTTCAAAATTTTCTCAAAATTTCAAAATTTTCTCAAAATTTCAAAATTTTCTCCAAATTTCAAGATGTTTTCAAAATTTGAAAGAATTTGTCGTCTCGGAAGACGACGTGAAGACGACGACGCTTCTCTGTGGTCGACCTGATCGTTCAGCGGCCGACCTCTCCCTCTCTGGCAACCCGATGGTCATGCGCTCGTCACAAATATCGTCACAACGTGACGAAAAGTGAATTTTACACGGAAATTCCTGCAGTTTGTTTAATAAGTCATGTATTGTGGTCATTTTGGTATAGGTGTTGACCCTTAACTCGTTGGACACCTCGGTATGTTCCCTTGTAAGTTTTATTGGGGAATTGATAGTGTACCGGGAGCGTTTTACAATTATGCGTATCGTTTTGAAATTACGCATCTGTTGGCTTTCGTTGAGTAAGTGGACAAAAGTTTTTGGTGGAAAATTTAAGTTATTAGAAACAATCTTTCCTCTCCCAAAGGTACAGATTATCTGAAATACATATGCATACATACTTTCACAATGAATCGCTTGTGCATTTTTTATTTCAATTAAGAGTGATATATAACCCTTTTTATTCACTGAACGTTTTAATGTAACGAATTTCCAGGAAGATCACCAGGGTCAATTATATAAGTATAAAGCGCTAGTAGCGCGTTATTTCAAATATCTATGAGCACGCAAATGTAAATATAGATCTATGTACATATGTGCATATCTTATGTATACGTAGTAGATACATACTTAATGATATCTTGTACATATTTGACATTGTCAACTGAAATTTCGTGTGTTATAAAATCTGTATACATATGTATCTACGTATGTTCAAGCCTCTCCCAAAAAATAAAAATTTTCAAACTAGTAGCGTAAGATGTAGCCTTTGTATGTAAATTTGTATACAAATTTTAGAAAAATGTCAGCATCACATTAATCGTCCATTCCACCACCGTCTGCATGAAAGTGTTGAATGTTGACATTTTAAAGTAATACGCAGATCCAACCTGAATTCTCAAACATCGAATCGACCTCCCTATCACTCTTCCCCGTTTCATCCCCTGCCTTCCAACGTGATTTTTGAATTTGCTCGACACTTCGTACACGTTTGCGGCACCTTTGAGCGCGCTTCGTTCAAAAATTGTGAACAAACATGTCCCCATCATCAAAAGAAAAGCGGTTGGCTTGGTAATTTTGTGGAAACATTTGATTGCCAGCACGTTCGTTAATGTGTGCACTGTTGCCAACACGTGTTGCGCAATTGGCCAAATTATTTCGGCACAGGCGTCATTGTGACCACAATTCAAGACGTGGAGGGCTCTGTAGAGACGCAGATTTCTGAAATTCACCCACGGATAGAGTAACTCGCTTCTTGCACTTTTTCTGAAAATTGCGAACAAGACAATGTATTATATTATTTAATGTATAATGATTAATAAATTATGTAGCTGGGTAACAATCTCCCAAAATTGAAAAATGCATACATAATTTTAATTTATATTTAAAATGAACTTACTCTAGGACACAGAGCCAATATCGACTAACTTGCGTATACACGACTAGCAATAGTCCCTCGTATGCCGCACCAAATACGGCAACGCAACTGATTAGCAGCTCGCCAAGGCCGAAGAGTATAATTCCTTTGAAATAAATTAAATAAATTATGCAAATATGTCTCAAATTGACAATGCATTAAACAACTTGTATTGTCTTCTACCTGGAATCGAATTGTAAAATTTCCTCGGAAGTAGCCAAGCGCCCCAATACCGCACACTTTGTCTTTCCTGTAAATGCTGCATTGTTGGACCAAAGGGTTGCAGGTGGAGCGTTATTGCCCCAAACACGGCAAATAGAAGGATCCCGTCATTTATTACCGCGTTTCGGTCTCCATGATATATGGCTGGTAAATAACGATTAAAAAATAAGAATTTAGCAACATACAGTGGAATTACATATTTGTGTGTCACCTCATTTGCATCAATCTCACTATGCCCATTTTCGGCTATTTATGTGGACTGTGGACTTTCCAAGTCCTCTAAACTCTATGTCTCTCGCTAATGCTCAATTCAAAATATGCAAATGAGATGATTAGCACAAATAATTCCAAATACTCGAATTATTCGCACTTAAATACATGCATACCTTTGAGTTTTGCATGGATGCGACAAGTTTGCTGAAAATGTTGCTGAATTAAATTAGACCCGTCTAGAAATCCATAAATCAAGACGCACGCCGCCAGTCGCGTCGATCCGTGCAACAATAGTTTCATGACGTCCACCATCTCGACTGTTTGATAGTTTAACGTCATAATCGTGACCATTTGATACACCGTGTCAGCCCACATGTACGCATATAACGTCAACCAGATAGCAGTTCGGGTTCGACTGGTTGCTCTCTTGAGCGTATTTGCCTTGTGATCCCATTTCACCGGAAATAGGCAAAATTTCTCGGACGTTTTTACCATAAAATAGAACCACGTTTCCCAAGATTTCAAGTGTTTGCTGTGGAAAATTGACGAGGTTTTGGAAAACTTATCCATTTTTTAAAATAAATGCATGCGATCTTGCGGGAGAGTCAGTCATGTATCGTGTGGGGAACAGTTTTCTTGGCGTCTGGACATGAAGTTTGCATAATCACTGGAAATACAACTTTATCCTAAAAATATTGTACAAAACAATTACTTTTCTTCATTGTTATGTAAAAAATTATGCAAACTATTGTCTACATATTGTATACATACATATATACATTATGCAAGATATAGGTAAGACTAAATAAATAGATATATTTTTTGTCTTTCCTGGTTATTTTACAACACTCAATTAAATTATCGGTTTCCTCTCCTTTATATATCAAACTCGGGACATAATCAGCCTTGATGTTATGCATGACAATTTCACCAATATGCAGGGACCAGATTCATAACTAGGTATTTCCGTTGTAATTTATGAGGGAACCTTTTTAAATGTTCAGTTCAGAATTGACGTTAATTAAGTTCAAATTGTGCCAAATTTAATGTAGTTAGTCTTCTAAAATAGAATACAGTATTATCATAATTATAAATACATGAAATTTGATAACAAATGACAAATGTGTTTGTGAGGAATTTTAATTGAAAAACTATATATGAATTATACATATGTACCTTAAATTAATTGAAAATGCAAATAAGTTTACCAGATTAATATTGCATTTGGATTCGAGGATTTACTTCAACCACATAAGAAAAAATAGTGCTATATGGATTTATATGTTTATGAAATACTAATCTTACACGCAAAAAACTTGTCTGTTTTTCTTCATATTTTGCCTTGTAGCTTTCGTTGAACTCAATTTTCAGATAATGCTCCATGGTAGCGTTCTAATGGCATTGAATTTGGCACCATTTTAAACTTTGAAATAATTCTAACCTGAACTGAACATCCGAAAATGTTTCCTTGTCAAAGTTGTAAAAATCCATTTGTGTTTATCTTTGGAGTGAAATTGTTATCGAAATATTTCGAGGGCTTTGCATAATAACTTTATCCATAAAAATAATATGGATATGTACGTACATATTTACATACATACGGGAAATCAAGATGGCGTTACATAAGTTAAGTTTCTTACTATAAATTTAATAAAAAAGTTCTCTGTCGCGTTATATATACATACATATTTATGTAAGAGATTATCAAAATAACCTTACTTTCATATACATAGTTTTTATATACCTAGTTTTCACAGGTCTAAATAAGTCTGATAAATCATCCGGGTTTCATTATCGATATTCTTACGACCTTACCGGGTTAATTAATCGGATCAGAATTATGCAACTCGTTAATACCTAATTATACCATGATAATAACTGTCTTCTGCTACAAATACCGATACATGACAGAGCACTCCAATTATGGTCAAGATGTAATTACAATACATTAATTCTGAGTTACATAATGCGAGTTATTTCTGAGAATTGATCACCAGGGTTAGATAAGTATGCTTCTTCCTAACCAATCATAGTAGATACACAATCATGCAGATTTACAAATTAAACATTATTAGATAAATAGTATTTTGGGGAAATTAATGTATATCAGCCTGAATTATATATTACGGTCGATGCTTTATAAATAATAACTCGTTTATTTGCAACTGATGTAGCTTATCCTTAGTATTTAGTACATGTGTATTAAGTAGATCTGAAACGTTGTACTCCTTACCGAACTTTTTACTGTGAACCACCTACATACATGCGAATACATTATAATTAAGCATCAATCAATAAATCGTTGAAGTTATTGCATAATTATTGCATTGCTGTTAATAAATAATGAGGGTATTCATTATTTCTTCGTATCCTTAGTATCGTAAAATAGTTTACGAAGATAAAACAAGGGGTCAGGTTTCGTAAAAATCGTAAGCGTAGTAACGTGATTTTCGATGAGAAAATCTTACGACGCTTACAAAATCTCGTAAGCGTCGTAAGTTATTTTACGATACGAAGAATACTAAGGATACGAAGAAATAATGAATACCCTCAATATTATTATCACTGTGCTTGATCACTTTATCTGCAATTGATTATCTTAAATATTTCGCATAAAACTAGATTTAGCGAAATTAAACAACATCGAATATTAAATTCCCATCCACTCATGTTTTAGAAAATTTCCACGACTATTTTTCGCAAATTTTTTTGACACCAACAACTATAGCGGTTATACTTAAATATTATCAGCATTAGTTTAACTACTGTTAAATTAAATGTATAAACCTACATAATTATGTATGCCATTTTATACGAAGGGTCTCAAAAAGTATCCATCTATTTGTTAGAAATTAACAGTGTTGACACCGTCTGTCTCGTGCACATGTCCTGAATCACTAGAGGTGTACTATTGTCCACGAAATTTGACCCACATCGCACCTTCATGGGTGGAAATCCTCTCATAGTTTTTCTCAGTTCTGAATTCTTCCTCGTCCCCCATCCAGATTTCCACGTTATTAACAATTCTCTCGAATTGATGTACACGTGTGCCGCCGTGGTGAACATAGTAGTCGTTAACATAACCCCATCACAGTACAGGAGGAAAAACACCCCCACCGCCCACACGGACATGGATGAGTGAAACTTGATGCAGACATAACCACAAAAAAATTGTGCTGCCGGAAACCCAATCGTTCCCGCGGGGAACATTCGACTTCGGACACAGTTGTTGTTTAACATTTCGAGGACACGAAGGTATTTGTAGGCTTGGAGGAGATAACCTTTTTTGTATGAAGGGTCTCGAGTCCTAAATAAATTTCAACAGATTTTTTACAATCGGGGTATTCATATTCATTACGAGTTCGCATCGCTTAAAAAAATCGAGTTAAACACTAGTCTTGGTGGAGATACGCAAGTTCGCAAATGCATTTTCAACCCAAAATTTTTTGCGAACTTGTGAACTTTTTTTGCTAACGATGCGAACTCGTACTGAATGCTCCCAATATAACAATTATATGCACATAATTTACAACACACCCAAATTTTTTCTAAAATTTTTACCATTGTTTCAAGATTTTAATATAATTCCACAAGCTGAGACAACACCCAACCATGACTTGCGTAATGAAGAAAGACCCAGAAACGGTGACTTGGTAGAACATGTACCCTTCAAATATTGCCATGGAAAATTTGACCCATTTATTCTGTATCCCTCTTTCTCCGTTTGTACAGCATGGTAGCATCGAACCAATAAAGGGCGGTTGGCATGGAAACGCTAAGAGCAGGCCAGTCGTAAAGATGGGGATTGTGAAACAGGTGAAGATTACCATGGGAAGTACGAGAGACATGAGCAAGTCCATGATCGACTTTTTGAAGTGATGACCTAATTAATTTACTACAAGTTTAATTTATGGAATTGACAAAATGAGATTACCAAATTTCGAACGGTACACTCTAAGAAATTAAGCTACCGGATTATCACCGATCCGTAGCTATGTGACTACCGGATGATGATAATATGCTACCGATCGGTTACGCCAGAGTCGCCACGGAAATAATCCCCCACTAGCTTGGTGACGGTCTATCACCAAGCACAAGCATATTACCACCAAAGTGGTGACAACCCCGATCACAGAGTAACACTTGTGCCTGGATTTCTTAGAGTGTAGATCTTAAAAATTCATTAGATTATTCTTACGTCGAAAAAAATTTCTCTCAAAATTGATAAATGAATTAAGCAACTCCATCGCAACTGTGTCCAAGTGCCAATTCCACCGTAAGAAATGTCCCGTCGCATAAATTGTTGTGAAAACCATGGTTTGCATCTTCGTGTTTGTTGACCGTGTCGATATAGCGGTGGAGACGAACTGACCAATTGTATGGACAAGTTGCAGCGTCATTTGCACCTTGACAAGAAATCTGTTAAATTTTCCCTTAACGGGGACCAAGTTATCCGTACGAGGATGCCACTCAAATGGAAGGCAGCAGATTAATCGGGCAAGTTTGACATGTTGTTTCAAATGGGGGAGAAACGTTATGCTTATCATTTTGAATGGATAAAACAGAGTTTGTCAGATGATCACACTCGAAATGGCTCAAGAAAACTGCATAAAAGCGAAATTATTATTTGCACATTTGAGCCGGGAAAAGGATTTAATGTACGATGATTAGACTTAATTGGTCTGTTTAATTGATTTCTTACTGAGTTCTGATTCTGGGGTAGTTAATCAGCAAATTACTTTTCCGTAAACTGTGGTAGGTAACTAATTGGTTTTCATTTGTATTCATACTGTTACTGGAATGGATAATTATGTGTGCATTTATCTACATCTTTACAGTGTTTGATTACGAAACTGTGTCATGAATAAATAATGCCTTTTGGTAAGAATAATATTTATGGCAAGTTTGTGAGTATAATTATACTCACAAAACCGTGTTTACGGTTTTTTCCTTAAGATAGTACTCTTAGAAATCCAGTATTAAAATAATATGTACCAAGCGAAATTCATGTTTGGCTATACCAAAATAAGTATTATGAATAGATAATACAATGAGAACTAAATATGTTGGTATTAAAGTTCTACCATATCGGTGGCAAATTTTTGAATTACCCGGGTTAGTCAATCAAGTGCGTTACACAATGTGTAATACACATTCATTTATTTGTTTTATTTTTATTTTGCATGTCAGCATATTTACATAAATTCGTTTTTTTCATGCATATGGATGGCACGGACTTTAAGCAGCGATGGTTGACCTGATCCATTCAGCGAAGTAGGATGTTTCCGTGTACCTGAAGAAATTTTTAAAAATTCTTCAAACTGCGACAAAATTCATCAAATTATTTTTCTCTTACACTCCGGGATATCCGTCCAAAGCACAATCCTTGCCCCAAGAAACGATCCCACACAGCGCATTGTCCGATCCGCACATCAATGGACCACCGGAATCTGGTAAATGTAAAATGTGGACACGATTTAATTTTTTTTTGCTTCAAAACTGTTTTTCAGAATTGACCTATCGACTCACCAGCCTTGCAAGAATCCTTTCCTACAACCCCGTAGCAGACCATGCTCTCTGTGACGACGCCAACTCCAATGTTGGCCGTTCGGCAGGGCGCGTCCGCCACGTGGGGCACTTCAACCTTCATGAGGACATCGGGAAGGTCACCGATCGGGAAAGACAGCATGCCCCATCCCGCCACGGTGGCCAAGGCTGATATTACCAGAAAAAAATCAGACTTGAATATTTCTGGGTTTTTATATATTTTTTATCTACCTGTTGGGACGAAGTTAAGCTGCGGGATGACAGCCGGACCGACAAACTCGTTGAATTCGAAGGGACGGTCGACACGCATCAGGGCGATATCGTTGTTAATAATAGTGGGTCTAAGAGATAATAAACAGTTAGCATAAATTTCCAAATATCCCTAATTATCATAATTTCCAGGATTTGTTCAGAAGTCAACGCCGTCCAATTTATCGGCAGCGGCGGCGCCAATTTTGGAAGATTTTTCGACGGCGTCGGCGCGGCGCCCCGATAGCTCTTATTTCCTGTTTTATAGGAATAGGGAATAAGAGTTATCGGCGGCGGCGTTGATCTCTGGATTGGTTTCTATAAAATTGTCATTGTTGCTTCCCCTCGTATACTCAGGCTGATATTGATAGCTCGATATTATGTAAATTATTCCTGTCCGCATAAAATTTGCTACCGATATGGTACAATTTTAAAACTGAGCTATTACCCCTTTGGTAAAATCATTTCTACATTAATGAATACCGTATTATTTTAATACTGGATATCTAACGATAAGAGTATACATATCTACATACCTGTTGTAACCTGGGTGTATCACGATGGCAGTGACGCTACGACTTTGTTCCGTCCCCTCGTTGAGGGTCAGGTTGTGATCCCCTGCGACCAGGGTGTAACTGCTGGGGGACCCGCCTACACAGTGAGCCGCAGTAACGACCCAGTCGGGGGAAACGATCGACCCCCCACAATTATGACGCCCGCCAACTCGCAGGTCGATCATGAAGGGAAATTCGTTTTTCGTGGCTTCCACGCCCCCTACGATCAAGCGTGGGTCGGCCGCTTGGAAAAGGGCGGTGTCCAATTTGGGCATGGCTGAAATTTAAATTTCGGAAACTTTAAAATATTTTGAAAATATGATTTTAGACAAAGTGACAACCTGAAGCCAAGGCGACGACGCCGAGGAAGATGATTGTTGCCGATTTCATGATGAAATTGAGATGATGATTCGAGCTGGAATTGCTGTGTGGGTTTGATAAGGTATGATGGAAAATGTTCCGATTTTATACTCTGCCAAAATGGACACATATTAGTATATTATAACTATTGTTAAGTTTAGTGAGGTAATTCCGCCTAACTTTAAAAGGGCTGGGAAGTTGTTCCGATAAGCGACATGAATTTCCCGTGCTTTATGAAAAACCCTATTTCAGCATTAAGGTTGTTGAGTAAACATGTTCACAATTGCACAATTTGCTTAAAAGACAATGAATATGTAAGTATGAGAGTGATAAGCTGAGTCGCTTATGTGGATATATCGCTCGATAAGCCTTGCCCAATAGTGAGAGATTATCTGATCAGAGTCATCCATCATTTTTACACCAGGCGATTTTCCATCATCTTGGGGTATCCCTCAACTTCAATAATTTACTCCTGTGTAGGTATGCTGCAGATTTCATAACGACTTCAACTTTCCGATTAATTATAAATTCCCAAGTTGCATAATTACTGATTTTGTGTAAAATTTTGTCATCACAATTCCCCACTTTGTATTATATAACAATATAATTTGAGAGGTGTATTCACTTGTGTGCGCAAAATATTTCTCAAGCTTATCCTCGGCGAGGATTCCCAGTAAGGGAAATTGCAGAAAATCCATGGAAACAATATAGATGTACATATTTTATAGAGTTATGTAAGAGATTTGCGAATTCAAATTTTGCGAATCCCCTCAAGATAAAATTTTTGTTATCTTAGCAAGTTTGCTAAATGAGTTGCGATGCGAAATAAGATATTATCGTGAGTACGCTCAATATATATCTGTAAAACTTCTTTTCTTCTTGCCCCTTGCATCGTTAATTTATGACTGTGCAATTCTAATCAGAAATTTAGAAAACTACCGTTACTTTAAAAAGTCCACATCTTTAGAATTTTGCTCTTCAAGCACGTTTAGATGTAGATTAAGACTATGTACTTAATACGGTTCAGTCCCCTACATATGCGTGTTCAATATGCATATGCATATATACAATTGTCGACATTGGAGCCAGATATTTGTAGTCATGACAACTACTGCTACCGTATTTGATCAACTGCCAAGAAATCTGCCGAGATCTAGGAGAAGGTTATTTCGAGAAAAAGCGCAAACAATGAAAATTCAATATGCAAGCTATTTGAACTTCCCAATTGAAACATCCCTAAAATTTCACGACTATAAAAGTTCTCTGATTTGAGTAGCAAATCATCAGATACGAAACATCCATTCCTCTGAATTACCAAACAACCAATTTTGGACTCCAATTTTTTCACGATAAATTTAAAATACTCTTACTGATTAAATCCATTACCCACATCGTCGCAATGAACAACTTCATCAAGCTCTTGGCCATCATGGCATTTGTTTTCGCAACCGTTTACGCTTCAAGTTTACATCAGGAGGGGCACGACATGAGTGTAAGTTTATCAAAATCTGTGCTGTTTCAAATTATGAAATTTAAATTGAATAAAATATTTTCTTCTTCAGGATTCGTCCCCAGGATCAAACTCAGATGCAAAGTGGCGTAAGTTAACCTTAATTAAATACATGCATAATAATTATCCAACTAGGATTGATTTTAATCAAATTTTTGTTAATGTTTCTGGCCAACAGTTCCCCCAGGAATCTGGATTCCACTGCCAAACTTAGCCCCGACAGGAAACACGACTGGTTAAATAAATATTTTCGTCTCAAGACGCCACTCTTGTCATTATATATTTACGTAGTAATTTATGCAAAATCATAATAAAATATAGCAGTCTCAATAAAATGTTATCATTAAATAGATTAAAATCGTCTTATTAATATACCGTTTCTTAATTTACTTATCATAACTTGGGTTTAATTTTCTTACGTTTTGCATTAAATTTGCTCCTTTAAAATCCACATAAAAGCCATCCCTACAAAATGCCAACAGACTTCTGTGCAATTATGTACACCATGCATATGTAGATTTCGATTTCAGTAAGGTCTTCTTTTATTACCCCACTAAATCAGTTCGGAAATTAGGTTATATTTCAAAACACAGGAAGCCTGATTCAATTAGTATCTCTTTGGCAGGGTCACTGCGTCATAAATAATATATTCAGTCAACATTAACGATTATCAGTATGTGGATTATAATCATTTATGACTACAAACCGCGTGGACAGATTAGTTTCTCTAATAAATTAGAACCAGATTTCACTTTCTTCCGGGAGTGAAAATACGCAAGTAAATTCTAGTCTTGGCACTATCGCTTCTCTTTAAAAGTTTCTATCTTTTTTATGAAAAGTAATCTAGTCGCCAAAGGAGAATTTTGACCCGGTTATAATCAGGAATCGAATCTAATTAGCATAATCGCCGACCTTAACTACCTCTATGCTTTTTAAAATTTGATTTCTCTAAACTAAATATCTTGAAAATAAGGGTATCAAAATTCACACTCAAAATCTCGATAAGTAAAATCGGAAACCTTTCTTCAAATTTTTATTAAACCTTTGCCTTCGTGTTTTTCAATTATTAAAAATATGTATTCTCATGCATTTTCATTTTGAGTGAATACGTATGTAGGTATGCAAATTCATATGACTTTGTATAAGTTTTTCATAAATACTACGGGTGTTAGCAATTGAATTTTAAATACACATTGCTTACATGCTACACATGTTTACATGTATTTAGTACATATATGCATATGTATGTGTGTACATAAAATGGTACACCAAGACTAGATGTGACCACAAAATTGCATTCGACTTATTTGTGCAACTGAACCTAAAAAGGTCAACCTATTTAAATAACTAACCATTCCGGGGCGGGAAGGTTGTCTAGATGAGGAAGGACGATACCAAATAAGGAAAATTAAATAAACGTGTCCTCAACGGTGTACACATAGTTTTACTAACTTAAACCCTGCAGTACTTGACGGGTATAAAATCTGCGATTCGTGTCGAAATATCATCAGAGTAGGACCACCATCCAACAGAAGCAGTAGAAGAAATTCAACGCTCCTAAACATAAAAAAATATCCAATACTAATTCAATAATTACATCCACATCATCGCAATGAACAACTTCATCAAGCTCTTGGCCGTCATGGCACTTGTTTTCGCAACCGTTTATGCCACAAGTTTGCACCAGGAAAAAGACATGAGTGTAAGTTTATCAGAATCTGCACTATTCTAAATTATGAAATACAACTTGGATAAAATTATTTTCTTCTTCAGGATTCGTCCTCAGGATCAAACTCAGATTCGAAATGGCGTAAGTTAAAACTTCATGGAATGCATACGGACGCATAACAATTATGTAGGGAACTATGATTAAAATTAATCAAAATTTCTTAAATCTTTCTGGTCAACAGTTCCCCCAGGAATCTGGATCCCACTGCCTAACCTTGCCCCAACTGGAAACACGACAGGTTAAATGTCCCCATCTTGTCAGCACATAATTATTTTATAGTCAATCAAAATAATTATGGTACAAAATCCTCCAGAGCCTGAGAATAGATACAAATTCATTAATTATACTTAATTAAAAATTGGAGTAATAAAATGCAATATTTAATTGTTCCGTAAATTTTTCTAAAAACTAAGAAACATCATCCATGCTACCCGTTCAAAGCCGAATTAATTTAAAGAAATCTTTAAAGACGATTAATAAATCTCACTACGCCCACCTTTCTTCATTTTCTTGGTAACATTTCCTCCTAATGATGATAAGGGACCACATTGTTCGTCAATGTTTATATCTACGTCAGCGTGCAGGTTTTGGATTTTCGTACAGTTGCATGCAGAAAACGCGCTTTTATTTGGCATTTTTATTACATCTCAGTCTCTTATCTCAAATTTAAGTTCACAAAATTATCTCCAAATATTTATTTAAAGCTTTATCGATCACATTCGATAACCTAAACTTTTTACAGTTTGGTATATTACATAACATAATATTAATACACATATTTATTCCTTGATTCACACACTTCAGGGAGGGAAGCTATTTTTTAAACTCTTAAAAGTTTTAAAAATTAAACTTTAAATTTTATATTGAGCATAAAAACTGTACCTTCGAAAAATACATTCGCAATTTTAAGGAGATCAATATAATTCTAAAATGCACCCTGTAAACCCCAAATTCCACAAAGAAACCGACAATTGGTAAACAAATGAAGGCAATGTAAAGCTGAAAAGCGACAAAAAGATTTTCCAAAGCCCCAATGCCTTCCTGTTTTTCGAGTGGGTGTTTTCTGACGTCTTGTTCATCCACGAATTTCCAAAGCCTCGTGTACAGGATGAAAAGCCCGTTGGAAGATGCCCACTGTAAATTTCGGTAAAGGCCTTCTGATCCAAAGTATCGAAACTTGAAGACGATGTTGTTCTTGAAATAAGTTTCCTTCACAATGTTACAAGTCACGTTGGTATATTCGCGTCTCAGAAAATATAAAATGTCCTGAATATTGTCAGAATTTGGCTCGAACGCAACTTGATCGGTATGTATGGCCGCGCCAGAGAATCCGTTGCGTTCCGTATATTCATCGTCAATTTCTGAAAAAACGTAATAAATTACCGGAAATATTTGAAATAACTTAAGCATTTCATGAATTAACAATTGAATGATTCTTCACCGTAGATTAGTAAAGACCGAACGATGGGATTTTTATATATCGTCGGCATAGTAATAAAATCAGGCATGAGCAATGCGCTTATTTTTTATAAAAATCTCTTGTCTGATTTTACATATCTCATCTCGAAAATTCGACAAGATCATAAGAGTCGTACCGTTTTTCCAAATGTAGTTATCAGCTGGGATTAGCTTCCTTAAGGAAAATCGCGATTGGGTCAATGGCACGCCGCTATCGCTTGGGTATAGTTTGAACCCATATTCCTCCAATAGTTCTCGAATATCTTTAACGACATATTTCTCGAGAGGTTGCGTAATATCAGTTGTAATTATAGCTTCATATGAAGAATTAAGCGAAATGGTGGCCACAAGAGCGAGGAGTCCCATCCAGGTAAGAGCTCTCCTGGAATTGAACAATTGCAAAACCAAGAAGTTAATCTTCTACTAATGTAGACAATTCGCGGGAAACTTTGCCAAATTACGCTTAATGTGCCCAGTTTGCAAGATTACAAAGGATTTATTTAAGTTGCTTCAGTGAGACATGATTCGAATTAGAAGTCGACGCCGCCGATACATACATCTAATTCTTTCAAAATTGGGACGCCGATGTCGCTGAAAAATCACCAAAATGGCGCCACCATTATGGCAAAATTGTCGGTGTCGACCTCTGACTCGGATATTGAAACCTCATTGTGTCACTTTAACATGTTTTGCATAATTACAAAATAAAATTATCTCGCATCTCGTCTGCTAAAATTTATAAATATATAAATCAATGAATAGTCTATTCAGAGCTGGGAATCAACCCGGATTAGTCAATGTGTTTAACCTCTTGGCTACCAATTACACAGATTTGTGTAACGATTTTTTATCACTTGACTACCAGTCCATTTTTCGCAATATTACTTTGCCTACCAATTACACACATTTGTGTAGCAAAATTATTTTTCTTAGCTACCAAAATATTTTTTGGAAATTTTACGTTGTCCGGCATTACACAACTTGATAGATTTCCGTTGACTACCAGAATTTTTAAAATCCCCGATATAATTACACATATTTGTGTAACTGGTACGCAATAGAAAACGAGCTCGTGTAATTGGTAGCCAATGGAAATAATTGTGCTACACAAATATGTGTAATTGGTAGGCAAAGTAATATTGCGAAAAATGGACTGGTAGTCAAGTGATAAAAAATCGTTACACCAATGTGTGTAATTGGTACGCAACGGAATGTTCCCGAGAAATAACTGGTAACTAGGAGGTTAAATGGCCAATCCCAATCCCTGTATTCTTTAACATTGGGTAATCCGGATTGATTCCCAGCTCTGTGAATAGATACATAGATAAGTAAATACCCGCTTGGTGTTGGTTGTCTTAGAAATGTGACGGCAATATCCGTAAATCCGCCAAGTTTTGTGACTCCTAGCAGGAAGGAGAGCAAAATGAAGCCAGACCAAATCCAGGGATCAATAATTGTGAAAAACTTTGCAAGCTTGAGAGATGTCAAAGTCGGATTTTTTTGACAGTACAGCATGAAATAGTCGAGAGTTTTTTCAATGTGAAACTTCTGACCTCCCAGATTCGAGTTGTCATCTGGACCCATGTCAAATGGGCCCAAGTAAAAACTTGAGTGATGATTGGACGGATCTCTACGAAAGTAAATATACAAATTTACTGTGGTCGAGATTTTGCATTCAATTATATTGTATTGCGGGTATTCATGACGACGTCTTATTTGCAATCGTAACTCATTTAGAAAATTTGCGAATTAATGAAAATTGTTTCGTGTGGGGATTAGCGAAATATGATTTCCCGAATTTCGAAAAGCTATAAAAACAGTCCAGGTATCCTATTTGGATAAAGTTTCCCTAGGTTTGTATCTAAAGTTTCTACTGGATTAAAGATGAATTTTCAAAAACATTCTCAAACATGCTCAATTGCTGGGTAAATTTTGGGAAAGAAATCCGATGGTTCATGGTTCAATTTCGTTTTAAAACTTCAAAAGTTACAAGTTTCGTTTGTATGTTCAATTTGCGAGATATGCGAGGGTTGAGTGAGTACCCACATTAATTGCTCAAAAATCTTTAAAAAATAGTATTGTAAGCAACATGAGTAAGCATGTCAACATACATAACATTTAACGCAGGTACAAAATTACAGATTATTTGCAGTTTATGCAGTTACAAAGTTTACCGGATTTACCTGGAAAATGAACAGTTCAATTTTCTACAGACCGCCTGGATTGCACCGAATGCAGCAAAACAATGCGTCCCGGTAGAAACAAAATAGCGATGATCTTCGCAGTCAAAGTTATTCAAGTCATACGCCCAGTCTGGATTTACCTCCAATCGGTATAGATTTTGGCTCTGGTCAAATTCGTTCCTGGATATTTGAAGCTGTTCTCCCGAAGGAAAGAAACACCTCGACATTTTGCAATTGTCTCCTGTGATCAGAAATTGCGTCCAAGTCATAAAATTCCTTGTACTGATTGGATTAAGCAGCCCGGTGGAAATCAAGGGCCCAACATCTCGTCGAAAATCGAGTAATATCAGGTAAACCGGTATCGAATAGACGGACACATAATGAAAAAAGTGTTCATCATGTAACTTGTCCAAACCAGGATTAGAGAATATAAAGTACAACACTGCGTTTTGTTGAAACCCCCAATTTTCGAGATCTTGTATGAATGATTCGTCCAGAATGTAGGAATTTCGGACTTCGTAAAAGACAACGATTTCCATGCATGTCATCTTCCAAAATGGGGCAGATTGAGATTTGGGATGCAATTCTTTAACGACGAGGCCGCTTCGATGGGCGAATGCTAGGTGATCATTGTAATGGTCAGTTATATGGGTGAGGTTTTTGGTGCCTGGAATTAGACTGGATTGGAGTAAGCAGGCTGGATTGTGGTTAAAGTTGGTTAATGGGTGGATTATTTTTGCCAGGATTAAGAGTAGAGTTGACACTGTCAAAATCATTTTCAATTTAAAGTAAGTTTTAGTAAAGTTGTTAAAGTTAGTATTTTCAGGAAATTTTGAAAATGTAATCTACAGGATGTCTAGTTTTTAATTTGTTGTTATAAGAAAGGTTGTTACAGATATTGTGCTCGTTACCATCAAACATGTACATATTAGCAAAAAACATTAACCATACTGAATCTTTAATGCGTGTATATATTTATAAATGTTATTCTCGTAAAATTAATGTGAAATTATGATTGGCTTTGGAATAATAATAGGTTATTTTCTAAACTATATTTGCAATTTTGCTTCAAGGTATTTATATATTTTTTGCCGGACTCATCTGATGAAGAGCGAAGCTATTAAAATTAAATATGTGCGATTATAAATATTTATTACACTTGGAATTGAAGTGACGCAGTAAATATCTATATATACGGATATATGCACTCCTTATATGTACATATAAAGTTACATGACTTGACGTTTTGTACGTATGTAGGAATTTGCAATGCGGCCGACGAGTTAATAAGAAAAATATTTGCAAAAATATTTATGTCACCGTCCGGAAGCCGGCATCTTTTGATGTAGCTTCAAGCCTTACTTCAGAAATTAATTATTATTATGCATAGAACGAATATGTATGCACATACTTACCTAGTCGGGTACGAAATTCTTTGATAAACGTTTTTTACTGCAGAAAAATAACGGGTAAGAATTTTTAATTAAAATTTTCCACACGGATGCATAATATACCTGTGTATAATATAGAAATACTAAATATACAAATTTCCTCTTCTGGAGCACACAAACTTACAAAATCTGATGGTAAACTGATCGCCTGGATTACGCACGGTTTCCTGTCGAAACTTATCCCAAGCCTTGCGTAAATTTAACAAGGGAAATTAAAGAATTTGCACTAAGCAAAAATCATACATACCCCTGGCAAATAGAAAACGTCGAAGAACTCATCCCCTTAAGTCTTTGATGGTTTGGGTTTGAATTAATCTGCTGGAGAAAGCAAAACCCTGTTTATCTCTAGAAAGGGTTACAGCGCAAGCCAAGAATTACATTACCAAAGTTGCCAAACTTAGTGTAAAACCTTTGAAGTCCGGCCTATTGAAAAATAGAAACTGAATTTCTTAAAAGGTCACGGCTCAGCCATATGGTGCATAAATTGTCCAAAATTGACTATGAGCTCATTTCATCGATTTTATTTGGTCACAAAAATTCCATTTGTAATATCAGACCTTAATCATCTGGATTATGACTTGCGGCTTAAAATTGAGACCATGGCCTGCTCTAAAACTTCCACTGGTGCAGAAGTTCTCAAATTTTGTTTCTCAACGCTTGTGACCATTTTCCGGTAAAAACCGCGCGTGCTCCAAGCGACCGGCCGTCCATCAGATTTCTCAAGCGTGTGTACTCCAGGAGAGGAAATTTGGAAAGGTAGTATTTTTATATTATACACAGGTATATTATGCATCCATATGGAAAATTTTAATTAAAAATGCTTACCCGTTATTTTTCTGCAGTAAAAAACGTTTATCAAAGAATTTCGTACCCGACTATGTACATACCTACGGATAAAGCGTGGTAGATTGTACCAAGTTTTTTTAAAGTGCAGATATGTATACCTGAATGTCCGCCTGCATTATGTATTTATTATGTATTTACATAACACACATGTCTAGATACTTACATTGCACGACTGTTTTTAAATACGTGCCTGACATACCCAACAATTCGTTAGACATGTCTCATCGAATATTACATAAATATGTAAATATTTTCATCCGCAGGGGAACGAAGTGCGGAAAATCGTCGTCCTCCCATATTTAATAAATTAAATGAAGACAGGGAAATGAAGTTTCGTTTGCATTGTCAAATTCCAGCTTTTAGATGTTTCTTTGCACAGCTCGTACTTTCAATTGACTAATGTCGATTTACTACGCCATACTAATTTAACAGCGATGTATGTAGGGATGTGCACATAAGGCTGTTGTGAGTATGGATTATTTTCCGCTCGCCATTGTCTTCCGCCCCAGTGGAAGTAAATTATCAATTATTCGACCCAGTGTAAAAGCTGAATGGCCAGAAATGTGGACAACTTCCTGCGTCATTGTACCAACTTAAATGCGACTTAAAATTTGGGTAAAATGCCCAAAATTGTCAAATTGTGATCTAACCTCTCACCGACGATCTTCCGCCTATTTGTTTGGAATCTTTGTCTCATCAAAATGTTGACAAAAGGCCAAGATTTTTTCCCTTATTGGACAATTCAATTGAAAATATGCAATTTTTTCTGTGCTTTTCCCTACAAATGGGACGAAAGTTCGGAAAAAGTGAAGCTCATTAAGAACAAATTGTACAGGTTGATTTACACAGTCACTATTTTCTTACCCTTGATCTACATGGTTGTAATGGGCATCTTTGTCACTACAAATTTGCGACGAATTCCCATATCCAAGTCACTGAAGGGTTTTGTGGGAATTCTTTGTTACGGAATTAGCTCCACGACCAGAGTCACGTTTTGGATTTGGGAACTGGAAGGGTTAAAATTGATAAATGGGATACTCACGTTTGAAAAAAATCTGATCAAGGGTATGAGCATTTCAGGGCGAGTTCGTATCGTTGGCAACAAAAAAGTTCGAAATTCCGTAGAAATTTTATAAACAAATAGAATGAAAAATTATTTGCGAATTTGTGCGTCTCAATTTTTTTCGGAAAATATTGCCAGCATGCGAACTCGTAATTAGTGAGTATTCCTATTATATTTTTAATAGATCATTTTTTACCCAGGTCACTCAAATTATACGAACCTGACGAGCGGGCTATTTCCCAAGATTGTATTTTTTGTCGGTAACGCCTCCACGACAATGTTCGGAACACTAATTTTCGGGCTGTTGGTGATCGATCCGTGCACGCCGCCATATTTTGGCTCAATGATGGCAAAATGTCGTAACGGAGAACAAATAAACTGGGTCACACAACTTCCCATTAGTACTTTTGACGCTTGGATTTGGAATTGGATCGCTCCAGTTTGTGGACTCACGTTGGGCGATTTATTTCTCGGAATTTGCTTATCTGTGCAAAAATATCTCGACATCCTTTCAACGTGAGTAATACATACAAAATTTTGAGCGAACTCAACATCATCTTCACATTGCTCGCAAATTGGCAAGCAAGATTCTAGCAAACCTTTTTCTGGGAATCCATAACATCATCGTTAAATATGCAAACTGTAACACTAATTACTAAATTTTAATTAACTTACATTATGAAAATTTACCATATTCGTGTACAGTAAATTTGCAGGCTGTATATTTATAAACATAGTTTTTTCACAATACTGAGGTTATATTTACAAGACAAGTTCGTGTTTTTACATCGCAACATAATTTTTACGAACTAGATGCTAGCCTTTGAGATGCGCAAATAATTTTCTAAGCCAACTTTCTCAAATAATTTTGCGGACTTTGTTTTTTTACTGATGTTTTTGAGTTCGCATTGCAAACTAGGTGTCATTATTTCGCGATATATTTGCTACATGAGTTGCAATGCGAAACAATACGCTGTCATGAGTAAGCCCAGTACACATATTTCAACATATTTTTCTTTGAATTCTAGCACAATGTCATCAAAGTTTAATCACTTTAACGGAAGCAATCAACACCGGACTTTAAATTGGTACAGACAATTGCAACTGATTGAGACCCAAATGAACGTCACTTTCCGCGCATTATTTATTCCTGGTGGCTTTACAACTGCATCGGTCATCGTAATATTCAGTTTATACGTTTGCATAAAAATGCACAGCGCAATTCGCATGCCTGGATTCGCGTTTTATCCAACGCTCCTCATCGACGCGATGCTGGTGATTGGCGTGGATTTTGCTTCCGCGGGAGGAGTATATTCAAAATCGAAAAGGTTTGTGACCATCTGCAGGAAGTGGAACTCGAGAAAAGCGCTTCGTCTTGAAGGAAAGTCATTGCAACCGTTGAAAATACGATTCGGCATGAATTTCATTGATGAGCTGACATCACTAACAATTTTGGATTTTTGTTTGAGCCAAACAGTGTCACTGCTTTTGATACGTTAAAAGTCAAATTTGTGTATATCTAATCTTAAAATACTGCTATTTAGAAATCTGGTATATGCAGTCCCGCACGTATTGATTCATCTGTATTAAAGTTTCCACCGATTAATTTGTACTAAAATTATACCCCTACGTAAGAGTTTGCTACCAATATAGTAACACTTTAAGATGTACATATATCACTACACCATTTTATTTGTCAATACCACTTTGGTATAGTGATACATACATGAATACCGCTTGGTATTATTTTCACGTTGGATTTCTTAGAATATAGACGCACGTTATATACATACCTGTTCAAAAACACTTTTTTGATGATGATGCAAGTTCAGCATCGAAAGCTAGAATAAATTGCTTTTGCAATCCACACCCATGTATTCCGACGAAACCTCCTCAACTTTTTTCATTCAAAGTTCAGTCATTCCGATTTCTGAGTGGAGATTCACATTCAGTCATTTTCTTTCAAATTCATTTATTATAGGATAAATTGTATTTATTTATTATTTATTTTGTATAAAAAGCGAATCACGTTACCTATGTTAAGTACTTTTATGGGCCTTCAGGCCTAAACAAAGGCGGAAATAAATTTAATCTAATCGAATATCCCACTCTCTCGTCTCCTCTATACATTTCTTTGCTAGAACTTTTAGCTTATCCATCTTCATACAAATGACAATTTCCTTAAATGCAATACGCTCATTGGCATCGGTTCTCCAGCAGTTTAGCATTACAGAGTCGTATCTGTTGAAAATTCATAAATAATCAGAATCAGGTACAGTATTTATGTATGAATGTATGTACATATTCATAAAAATATTCAGTTATATACATTTCAGTTTCACCAAGGCCGAATTCAGGTTTACCAAGTCGGAGCCCATTTTTGAGGTTTGTTGAAAAATCAGAAGTCCAGTCGTGATCAGGCCACGGCCTTTTTCCGAATGAAAAGATTTCCCAGAGTAGGACACCATACGACCAAATGTCCGATTGCGAAGAGAATTTTAACTCGTCTAAACTTTCAGGGGCCATCCAACGCCTAAAATTAAGGTGTATTCATTACGAGTTAGCAGGTTCTCATCGCGACAGATTTTCTGAGAAGTAAATATGCATACTAACCATGGAAATGCCTAGACAAAACATATTTGGATTAAGATGTGTTAAGTATGTGAATACAGTATCTATACCATGAATTGCATATTTAAATTTGTACCCACCTGGCGATCTGAGACGGCATAAATCTGATAATTGTACAATTTGTACGACATTCCAAAGTCTGATATTTTAATGCTGAGAGAATCGTTTAAAAGTACGTTTCTAGCTGCCAGGTCACCATGAACAATCTAAAGCCAGGGAGTTATCCAGGTATTTATATTGTAACCGGAATCAGTAAAAATTTCAACATCTTGACAATTTAGAATACCCCATGGTTTCCCAAAAATTCCATTCCGGAAGCAATTTGTGTTCCCCACAAGACAAATTGATCAACATAAATGTCTCTTGAATTTGTTAGAGAATTATTTGCGGCGGCTTCAAGATGTTGCAGATATACTTCTAAACTCCCATTTTCACATAGTTCCATCACGATATTAATTTTTGCAGGCTGGTCTCCGGTTTTTGACCCCGTGTCTACGATTATAAATGGCTTGTTGTTAATAATTATTTCAAACTCAAAACACAATCAGAGCATTCGTGACGAGTTCGCATTTTCAGAAAAAAAAACAAAGTTCGCGAAGTATTTTATCAAAAATTCATTTTCGTACTTGCGCATTTGGGGGAGAATTTAGCCCGCAAATATTTTTAAAAAATTGTTGCGAACTCGTAATGAATCCCCTAATAATTTATCAAAATTCAGTACGCTTTGATTTCACAATTCCATAAAATGTCACGAGATTTTCATGCCCAATTTTCATCAGTCTCGACATGTTTTTTAATTCGTCGTATAAAGCGGATACTTGAGTGTCACGATTTATGACTTTTACTGCGACGATTTGTTTACTAGGAAAGAATCGCCCATCACTTAAGCATCCTTTATAAACTGTTGACGACTTTCCGACGCCAAGCATTGCAGAAGAATCGACTGGAAAGATAGAAATTTGATAAATACATATGCTGATATCGAACGATAACCATCTTGATAAAGTAAAAATACTAACCTACAATTGATTTTAACTGTAAAACTGTCAATTTCATCGTATCATTGTTATTTCCTTGGATACAGTTACGATTCAAATTTTCAAGATATGTCACGTAAAAGTAGAGCAATCCATACTCTACGGTCACACTTAAATATATAAAACCCCCAAAAACCTGAGAGTAGACAGAGTCAGGACTCGTCATTCCGGTAATATTCACTCCGATGACTTTTTTCATGATTAGCAGTTCATTCAAAAATGCAAAGGTGATATATCCTGTCCAGGATGCAATCCTTAAAGTCCGTACCGAGTCCTGCACAAAAGTGAAATGCTAATTTTTAAAAGAATATTTTCGTAAATACTTATTGGGGGGTATTCATTACGAGTTCGTATATTTGCAAGATAAGTAATTTCGAAAAAAAATTACGAACTAAATGCTAGCCTTGGAGATGTGCAAGTTCGCAAATGAATTTTCACTCCAATTATTTTGCGAACTTGCGGACTTTATTTTTTTGCTGATGATTCGAACTCGAAATGAATACCCCGGTTATAAGCAATATTAAAATTTCGTACCAAATGTAAGGCAACTAATGTTGAAATTTTTGTCCCTATAATGACAGCTTGATGGGCTGCTGATATCCAAGATAGCACAAGTAAAACTAAATTTAAAGAATTTTTGAAAGATGAGGTATATACATTTTTGGACATGCTTTATTTATACGAACCTGAAGATCCTTCAGATTTTGGGTCATTTTTTGACAACAAATTTACCATATTCTTATAAAAGAAGTATGTGTACGGCTACAATACATACGATTTTTAAACATAATTAAATACTTAGTTATCACGTTTTAGCACCGTTCACATAAAAAAATGTCTCACCAGTACGAGCATGGACTGACACTGCAAAATACGTTTGACCTTTAATCCAAAAATTGTGCAGGTTTCTCCCATCCCACGAAATTTGTGCTTCTTTGCAAACCGTAGGGCCCAGACGTATCTTGCGTTAAATAAGAAATTTCCTGAAACTCTGGCAACAAATAAACCTGCAAGACTTGAGTCGATTCTCATCCATTGTGATATTGTGTCCGGATGTGGGGCACGGAAGACGATGTTGTACACGAAGAGATTCATTTGCACTGCGGCGACTGGAATGTAAATCGGGATTCCAAGCAAGCCCAACTTTAACCAATTCTGTCGTGATTAAAATTAAATTCTCATATTTTACGCAGTGCGAAAAGGAACCGAATTTTGGGCGTAACGCCCGCGTAACGCGCAAAACCTGGCATACATATATCTCAAATTGCAAACAGGGTATTCCGGCCTGGGTTTTAATGGGTTGGGTTTAATTGGGTTTTAATGGGTTGTAAATGAATCAAACCCACTGGGTTTTACCATGTTAAGTGGGTTTTATTTGGGTTTTAATGGGTTTTATTGGGTTTTAATTGAGTTTTATCTTAAAACTAAAGTCTAAAAGTTAAATACATCTCCTATACGTTAGAAGATATAATAGTATAGTTCTGTGGAAGACGTTATCTCAATTCATTCTAAAGCAGTTTATTTCATTACTATTCTAATGTATTAAAATTCGGAACAAATCAACCATTGCCTCCATCCTATAGCATCACAGATTTCAAGTGTTATAAAACAAAAATAATTTCCGAATAGATAGCAATTCCGAATTATTTTTGATAAGTTATTACTTAAAACTAATAAAACCCAATAAAACCCATTTAAACCCAATAAAACCCATTTAAACCCAATAAAACCCATTAAAACCCAAATAAAACACAATTAACATGGCAAAACCCATTAAAACCCATGGGTTTTATAATTTTTGATTAAAACCCTGGGTTTTTCCGAACCCTGATTGCAAACTTAATTGCAAAATTTTGTGAAATTTGCCAGATTTTTCGAACCGGAAAGCCATTATACTTTTGCCGGCAAATTTACCCAGAAAATGAAAATATTATTATTTCGCACAATTATTTCGCCAACTTTTTACTATGAGATGTTATCCTAAATGAGAGATTTGCATGACTACATCTATTATGCTTACCTTTTCAAAGGAGACGTAAAATATTGCATTAATGCATATCATCGCGATAAGTAATCCGACTCTTTCGTATTGCACAGTTAACGATTTCGACACTACAAAGTGCATATTTACCCTTAAAATGGAAATGACTTCGTGACAAATGTATTTATCTATAAACTGGATTTGTTCTTACCGAAGTCAGCATCCGCAAGATTATGGAGAAATATGAGATCTCCGATCACAAAGAGTAGCAATGTTCCAACAAAGACCTATGTACATATAAAATGGTTTATATATCTGTGTAAATGTGTACAAATGCATGCATATTTAAATCCAAATTTAAAATATGTCTTGCATGAAATATACCATAGAGCCAACATTTAATAGATGAAAAGTAGTCCTGAAGTTCAGCATTGTTACTTATGAAATGTATGTATGTAATTAGAAATCTTGGGAAAATGGTAATGTTCTGATTTCCGCGTTTAATCTATGTATGCTCGACTGTTTAGTCAGTTCAGTAGGTGTCAGCATTTAAATGAAATAATTTTGTCACATATTATAACATATGTACCTAATTTACATATTTGTATAATACATACATAACGTAAGTGTGGTTGAAATCGTGCACACATACATTATTTAGTACAAGCCGAGCAACTTGATACATACTATGTAATACATACATAAAACCAACATTGACGTTGACCACAGCACAACGTAAATTATCATTTTTATTGAGCATTTGTTTTAAAGGCAAAGAAATATGTGTGAATGGGTTATCCAGAATGAAATTCCACTTTGTGGGTAAAGATATTTTTCACGTTTGAATGGGGGTTTCACTGATAAATTACCATCTTCTTCCCGTAAAATGTTATTTTGCAATTTTTCCTCTAAAATGTTATTAGCCTCCGGATTGAAGACTATGCAAAGAATGATTTACATATGCTGCAGCTGGACACTAGTAATTGAATTGCTTTCCAATGCGTCAAAGCATATACTTATATTTGTTGAATCAGTTCTTGTCACAAGAGTAGTTTTTCGTTATTTTGAAATTTAAGAAATATTGACAAATTGAGAATTGATTTGTATTGAGAATGCATATTAAAAAATGCAAGTATTGAATTTGCCAAATCCGCAGTTTTCAATGCGTATGAAAGAATTTCCTGCCTATAAATGACGTGATGGTGGGTATTATTAGCTTTTCATGCGTACATACATAATTTTCTGTAAATTATATTATGAATGTATATATGTACATAATTGGGAGTTAGAAATGACGATATTGATATTTCCAGCTTAGATAATTGACGGACAGTAGTTCATATGATATACATTTTACAAATTGGTTTCTCCACGAGGATAAGTTATTTGCATCATAGAATTAAATATTGCATTCATGTAACATATATTTCTCTACACGTATTTATGAAAATATTTGATTATATACATATGCATCTACAGTTAATACATAGATTTTAGGATTATATGTACGGTGATAAACATATGCATGCCTAGCATTTCAACCGGAAATCATTGATTACATAAATTTCTTACAAAAATGATAGCATATATTGACTATTCCTATAACTTGCGTTTTGAACCATTCGCAATTTCAAAATAAACAGACAGACCACTTGAATTTCATTTCGGTTGGATTTTCTATTTCTTTTTTAAATTATAAAGCCTTACATATGGAAATTATCGCAGATATTTGGCAATTGACTTCGAAATTAAAAGTTTGGAAGAAATTTGATCTGAACTTTAAAAAAATCTCTCCTAGCCTATTACATAGTATCCAGACTGTGAGCATGCGATATTATGTAATTACCATACCCCGGAAAAATATTTTTTTATCCTACCCTACTCATGTTGAGCTCAACACGAGTAGGGTAGGATAAAAAAATATTTGTCCGGGGTATGGTAATTACACAACACACTCTCTTAAATCTGAGCATAGTCCAGTTCATTTTTCAAGTCAGAACTTGTCATAACAGACATAAAACGTGCATCCTCCTGTTACGACTCGTTCATTTTCATTGTCATGATTTCTTATCAGTTTCCACACTTATGTGTACATACATACGTTCTATGTCCATAGATATAGAGATCAACTTTAGCATGCATACGTATGTACATCGCTCGCACTTTATACCATTCTTTGCATACAAAAGATCAATATAATTTTTTATCAACTGTTGCAGCTCTTCGATGTGGAGTGGGAATGCGTGTCTCGCAGTTTTGCTTTACTTACATATTTACCTTACCAAATGTACATGCATACTCTGAATGTGCACAATCATTAAGAACAAGCAGTGACAGATAAAAACACTGTTTTACTTTTTAAGGTTGCCGACAACATACGAACCCATACTCACTATTTAAGCAGATAACTCACTTTGCCGTATTCAGTGATCTTTTACCCAGTGGTCAAATCGGATCCACTATTTTGTCACAATTTCTCAGTCGCTGATAACTTGAGACAAATGGCTTACAAATTGTACTACTACGATGGACGTGGATACGCCGAACCAATCCGAATGATTTTGTCCTACGGTGGGGTGGACTTTGAGGACATTCGTGCCCCAATGTTCCCAATTCCGCAGCCTTTACCTGCCGACATCAAAGCAAGTAAGTCCCCATATTAAAATGTCATAAATATTTCTGTAAATATCGCTGATAATCGTTTTATTATCCTTGAAATAATTTAATCTTCTCAGAATCCACTTGGGGACAAGTTCCATTCATCGAATTTGATGGCAAGAAGCTCAACCAGTCGCTTGCAATTACGCGATACTTCGCAAAAAAGTTTGACCTTGTTGGCTCCAATGAGTTTGAAGCTGCCCAATGTGACGAGTATGTCGACACTGTGGTCGATTACGTGAAAGGTGAGGAAAATCGGGCTATAAATTTAATGTGGAGTATTAAGTACCGGTCTGCATGTTTGCATTCCAACACAATGTTGCAAAAAAAATTGCAAACGACTTAAATACTAGATTTGGAGGTGCGCAAATTCGCAAAGAAATTTGCAAGCGAATTTTTTTTTGCTAACGATGCCAACTCGTGATGAATACCCCCAATGTTTTCGTAAAGTGATCAGTATTGAAGTAAAGTGACTTCTGTTTGAATTTCAGCCTGGTTTCCCCTCGTCATGGAACAGGATGCCGAAAAGTTGAAGAAAATGGAGGAGGAAGTGACGAAAAGCTCGAGAGAAAAATATTTGAGCAAATTCAACGCCATCATTTTAGAAAACGGGGGACAATTCCTCGTCGGAAAGAAGATGACTTGGGCCGACATTTATTTTGCACAAGCCCTCAACAATGGCGAATTGATTCACGGGACAAAGTTTACAGAGGAGTATCCAGGCTTGAAGGCCATGTATGACAACGTCTTCAACACTCCAGCCATCAAGAAATGGGTGAAGGGTCGACCCAGCACAAAATTCTAATTAATACTTCTACAATTTGCTATTACAACTTGTAATTTACAAGGTTAATTAAAGTGAGGTGCACATATGCAAAAATTTCTTAACATTTTGTTCACTTGAGAAATATGTATACAATTATTTGCAGATTAAACAAATGTACATTTACATAGTGGGGTCATAAGTTCTCATGAATGCATTTCCGGTAATAAATCCCAAAGTATTAGAGCTATCTGTTCGAAATTTTTATGGATTAACAAGGTATTAATATTGTTTAGAAATCATAACTTCTTTGTCAAGATTTCGTCCACGGGCAATTAGACAAGACATAACTCGTGACGGCCACAGGTTGATCGTGGTACGCGCCAATTTTCGTGCAAAAAGTATTTCAGACTTTTCACCGTTGGCAAAAAATTTAATAGAAAAAAAGGCCAGATATTTGTTGTACAGAAGTCTGACATCCGTTTAAGTCAAGCACCTCGTATGCAATGATTACGTATGGGGGATCTGCGTGTATGGACTGAGCACCACGGGTGCTCGCAGAGACAACCAAAAATGATGATGATGATTATGGCACGAATCTTTTGAATCTATTCCGGCACGTGTAAACAACTTGTCAATAAGACTTATATTTTCGAGAGATATCTTACAACATTAGAAACACAAACTGGTTAACTTTCATTACGTCATAAATTACTGTCCATTTGTAAAGATAAATTTAAAATTTAACACTTATTTTCACACTACAATCCTGAACGGCTGAATACAGAAAATCCACCTCCAACTTCATAAAAGTTATTCATTCAAAATTAAACTATATTTGGTGATAAGACTAAAATTAAAGGAATTAGTTTGTGTTTGTGTTTTTGTTGGAAATTTGATTGCTGGACAAATTAAATAAAGTAAGTACATACATACATATCTTTATATTAAAGCGTATGCATTCTGAAAAAATATGTACTATAAAAATTTGATGATGACATGTAAAAAAAATTGAAATTCTTAAAATCGAAACGAGTCACGTCGATTTTTCTAAAAAAGGGCCATTCAGTAAGTACGTCGACAAATTGAATATTGAGGGAATTAAGATTTTTGGTGACCCAACGCGAGAACACATAAGTTCACCACATTTCATCTATAGATTCAATTTTAGCAAAAATCTCACTTTGCCCCAGACCACACCCATCCTGCACACACGGACAAACAGACAGACAAAGGGTTCCCATAAAGTAGCTGGAGTACTTAATATATAATTTAGCGCAACTAAATCTCACTGCAATGCAAAAGTTATATGTTCAAATTGTATACGTTTTCTTTGCACAGCCCCCATGTTTCTCATATCTGTCTCATCTCTCATTTCTTTCACCTCATTACTTCACCACATCCATCCACCCACATATCTGCCATCTCGCACCAACAAGTGCGTTATTAGTGTGGTTCTCTCCGTCGCAAGAAATCGTGGTGTCCAGCTCAATGACTAAACCAGCCCATTTAAATCCAAGTTCTAGTTAAGGTAATATAGTCTACGTCTATGGTTTAAGTATGCGGAAGTCAATACGAAGTCATCACCGTGGTGTGCATGGGAGCAAGTTGGCTGGAGAAATGAAATCTCTGTTTTTTACCGCAAAGGGTACAAGTTGAAGCTAAGAATTATTTTCAGAGTGTCCTAAAGCCAAACGTTAATAACCTGAACCCTGGACCCTCCGAAAATCGACATTGGACCTTTCAACAAGACCCTGTTCCTGCGCAAGGTGCAAAATTGTCCAAAACTGGCTTCAGACGAATTTTCATGACTTTTTTTCATCCGTAGAACGGTGCTCAGTATCTGCAGACCTTAATCCCCTAAATTATGACTGGTGGTGAAAATTATAGGTACAAGTATGCTCTAAATTTCACCCAAGTGTGGAAGGGCTGAGGTCGCACTTACTGAAGATCTGGCGCTTTTCCCTGGAAATCCGTGCGTGCCGCGATCGAGCAGTTTTCGCCACGACTTATGTCTTGTGTACAAGCCCGTGGAGGAAATTGTGAAAACGAAGTTATGATTTCTAAACAAGATTAATACCTTGTTCATCCACAAAAATTTCTATCAGATAGCTCTAATACTTTGGGCTTTATCACCGGAAATGCATTCACGGGAACTTATGGTCGGACTATGTATGTAAGGATCTGCGAAATTCGTACAAAAATCATGTCTGAAATTACATATTTACGAATATTATAGATAGTGACTACTTCTTGATTTTCATTATTTTTTGTTTTTTAATGATTTTATTTGCATAATTTACATAAAGAATTTTAATTTTTCTTGCATACTTATGTACCATGATAAACTAAAACTATTTCTGCCTTGATGTGTACTCATCCTTCAAAACTCTTCGAAGTATTTTTCCAGAGGGTGCTTTAGGAATTGCGGAGACTAATTCTACGCCACCGACAAGCTTTTTATGGGAAGACACCTTTGACTCCATGAAATCACTAACGGACTTTTCTGTCAAACTTTTCGTCTTTGGGACAACGTAAGCACGCGGTGCTTCGCCCAATTTCTCGTGCGGAATGCCAACAACGGCGACATCCGCTATTTCAGGGTGTTGTCTTAAAATGTCTTCCAGCTCGGCAGGGGCAACCTGCCAGATCGTCAATGCAATTAAAGTATACTTTATACATGCCATAATTAAATCGTATTTATTCAGTACCTGAAGCCCTTTCACTTTGATTAGCTCTTTCAGCCTGAAATGATTAAGGATAAGAAAATAAACATTTTTTTAATCAAAAATCACGTTACTACGCTATTTGTGACTACTTACCTGTCCACGATGTACAAAAACCCTTCATCGTCGTGATATCCGATATCCCCTGTTTTTAAGAAACCGTCATCGTCCCTGGTTTCCTTCGTAGCCTTTTCGTTCTTATAGTAGCCTTTCATGATCTAATAAATTGTTCTGAAATTAATGGATGTACGTACATATGAAAAAGTGCATGTCTCCTTCTAACCTGCGGTCCACGAACGCAAATTTCTCCAGTTTCATTCGGTCCGACAACTTTCCCTGTAGCAATGTCCACTATTTTGGCGGTTGTTCCTGGAAGTAAAGTTCCACCTGATCCAGCCTTGGTAACACTTACTTCCGGTGGTGTCATGTGGCTTCCGGAAGAAATTTCGGTCATTCCATAAGCTATAAGATAGAATAAATGCATGATTCGATTAAACATTATTTGCACATGGATAACAATTGGTTCTAAATAGAATCCTTATTATGTATGTATGTATGTATGTATGTATGATTTATTATTCCTTTTTTTCGGCCACTTCGGGCCCATAAAGGAGCAAATTTGATAAAATCATTAAATGAGTCACAAAAATTGCAATAAGATGAGTAATTAAATTGACATTCATTAAATCTGGGAGTTCGATTTGATAAGAGATCAGTATTTAAAACATGGTCATAATAACGCACACGAAAGAAAGGGTTGAGTCAGCTATTTAAGAACCAGCGTGACAGAGTAAGTATGTCATAAAAGTGTATAATTGTTGAGTCAGGCGAGATTCCAGTCCATAGTTGAAGAATTTGAGCGACGTGATATTGGTCAAGGAATGTTGTTGTGAGGAGAGGAAACCAGCCCAGTCAGTATTGGGATGTGGCGTATGTTGATATTTTGTAAGGAAGAAGTGTGTAGATGAAATTACGACATCCGGTCGGTGGTAGGTAGATAAGAAGGGGAGGAGACGAATGTTATATGGAATCGTGGGTGATGTTGCTCCTGCAATCCTTGCCTGCCAGGAAGGGAAGAAGAACAAAGTCCACGCCATGGAGAGTGATGAAAAGTATGTCGTAGTACGCCTTCTCCATCGAAGACAGGATGCGCCACAACCTGTTGAAGTGGGTCACAGCGGCCGCCACGGCGTCCCGACGTGGTCACTGATTCCCAACAACGAATGACCCCCAGGCGTCCCTTGGGTGGACACGAATGATGATGGCTGGAAGAGCGTCCTCTGTCCCGGCCCCCATCTTTTGCCGAAAAATCTTGCAAGATGTGGCAATGACGTACCCGGTCCTCCTCGTGGATGATAATGCAGTTCGGTTTTAACAAGACGCACACACAGCATTCTGCCCCCCACAAAATTATGAGATGAGTGTCCCGTAGTGTTGACGAGTGTCAGAAAGATATACTTTCAGTAGCCGGGGTAGTTTATTGCAGTATTTCCAGTGCACAATTTAACAGTTTACACTTTCATGCGCAAAGCGCAATGAAAGAGCTGAGTAAAGTGTGTAGTTGTTACGTGGAGCCGACTGAAATGCAGAGAGAGAGACTCGACCACTCTCCTCCGTGTCTCAAACCGAACTCCAGAATCCTTATTATGTAACTCCGGTTATATGTATGTATGTAAATACTTCCTTATCTCCCCGTGTCAAGTAAACCCCACTACTCTTATCCGTTCAATTGCTGGGTAAATTTGCGAAAACATCTCATGGTTTACGAGCAAGAAAAAGTTTGCAAAATCTTGCAAATTTCTCAAAGCTTCGCAAGTTGTGCTGCGAATGCTCAATTGCGAGATACATGTGTGAAATATGCGAATGACACGAGTACTTTTCTATAATATTCCTTTAGATCCATGATAATATTTGAGATTTCAAGTCTTTCCAACAACCCAATTTTTCATACATCGGTTTTCACATGGATTCACATTTTTATGAACAAGGAATTATTACAATTACAAACATTACCTTCTTGATAGATCATTCCGTGATCAAACTTTTCCAGATATCGACTGATCAGAGTTTTGCCCGTCGGTGCTCCTCCAGCCACGGATCCTTTAACCGTTTCCAAGTCTTTCTTCGTAACGTCTGGGTTATGCAGGAGGAACTGCATTAATGGCGTCACCAAATGTAGTAAGGTTGGCTGTACAGATAAAAACGTTACTTTGTAAATTTGGTTGGTAAAAATAATTGAATACGGCATTTTCTCGATGCAGGGATATAGCCTTAGTGATGAGGGAAAGAATGAGGTAAAAGAAGCTTTTAGGAAACCAACATTACAACAAAATTACGAAGTCTTATCGTTTGATGATGCTATATTTTTCCTGGTTTTTGGAACTGGTCATAAGGACGACTTTGTGATCGAGTCATTAGATTTTCTTAAATTGTCCATTTTTTAAGAGTCTTACCTTGTGGCGTCTAATGGTTTGGGTGAAAGTTGCTGGATCAAATTTAGGCAGACAGACGCAATGAGCGCCGTGATGTAAGGCGCTGGCGAGTACGAATTGCAAGCCGTACATGTGGAAGAAAGGCAAAACTGCGATAAATCTTTCCCCATCGGTACCTTCGTTGTAGAAGGTTTGCCTGTAGCCAGGAGTTAAGGCTTGGAGCAAATTTGTGCTAAATGTGCTATGTGTTAGCTCCACACCTTTTGGGGGACCCTGGTTAGAAAGGAATATTGAGTATTTATATTGAGGGTATTCACATTTGCAATTGTCTTTGTATCCTTAGTATCGTAAAATAGGTTACGAAGGAAAGATAAGGGGTTAAGCTTTGTAAAAATCGCAAGCCTAATAACGTGACTTTTGATGACAAAATCTCGTTACAGGCGTAACTCACAGATTTTGCTATACGAAGGAATAATGATTACCCTCATTAAAATATTATACGAAATCGTTGCGCAAATCATATCAATGAGTCAAAAGAAGTGCATACCATACTATAATTAAGATGAAAATATAAAACTTGACTGAAAATTGCATAAAATCTAGAATTTAAGACCATCTCTAAATTTGGAAATTGTTTAATTTAAATTACAAATGTGTTTAAATCACGAAACTCTACAAAATGTGTAAATTAAGTAGAAATCATTTGAAAATGCATAACTCAATAAAGTTTATGCAAATCACAGAAAATTACAAAATATGGAAATTGCATAAAAACGAAATATTTTAAATCAAACCAAAAAATATCTACAAATTAATCATAATATTCAAATTTAGCAGATTTACAAAATGTGAACGCTTTGATCTGATCAACTACTCCATTTCATGATTTTACCGAAATTTTAAAATTTGCTTAGTTTCAGTACCGTAGTTCCGCTCGAGTAAGGGAGTAAGGCCGTCTGGGTTTCCGTATCGATGTCACTTCCCTTCAATAACTTATCCCTGTCTGGCTCCGTATTTAGCATATCGAAGAAATTATGATGTCCTTTCGGGTCTCCGATTACAATCACGCTCTTCAACGTGGGAGCCAATTCCTTAACTTTTTCCACGATTGGGAGTAGTTCGGAAAGTGTGATTATGGATTTACCCCCACAGTTCTCGACTTGTCGGGCAACCTCAGCTAAAAAAAATCGTAAAATCACACGTGCATAATTCCAACATTTTCAAACCTCAGTATTTAATTAGACACACAACTTCCTAGAAATTTTAGATGACCAACACGGAAACGTATGTAATAATTAAATCAAATTTACATCATCATTTCCTCCAGCACCCGAATAAACTTAAAAAATGTTACATGTCACACATGAATGCCACGTTTTGTTTTAGGCAGTTTAGGTAAAGGCGAGGATGTACATAAATATGTACTCCTTACATACGTGGCTTGAGATTATTAGGCCCATTTTTAAATCAAATCGGAAAAAACACTTACCCGGCGTGTATGCCGGATTTATGGGGGAAGCGATGAACCCAGCGTCCCAAATTCCCAACGCGACAATAGCATATTCCGGTATGTTTGGCAACAATATGCACACAGAATCCCCCCGTTTTAGTCCGTGATGGATTAACGCCGTTGCAAAACTTTCACCTTTCTTGTAAACTTCGCCATGCGTGTAGATTCTACCAGTGATTCCACACTCCTAAATAATTTATGGACACAAAAATATATCAGGTTTATTCAAAAATCAGAAACCTCATGTGCAAAAACAATATGCATAGCTTTTTTTAGAAATTTTACAATTCCATTTTTTGCTAAAAATCATAATTGGCAATTTACATACATTAAATTCTTAAAGTCCATACCAGTGCTGGATGATTCTCATATTTTTCCAAATTTAACCGCAAAAATTCCGGTATCGTCAAATTTTTAGAAGCCTGAAATTCCACTACGGACGATATCACGTTCGGATTTTCGGGTAACTTTGATTTTATCCATTTTCCCCGAAACGCTGACCCTTGTAAGATTTGAGATGAACAAAACGATCTAACAAGTAGTTTCGGATCGTTAAATTTTCGTATAATCGGGCTGAAACTTAGCAATGCCATTTTACCAGAAGTATGAAACTAAATCCACCAAATTAATCAATAATGTTGGAAAATTAAACATATATAATTCCGTTCTCTAGATATACTAAACTCACATTCCACAAGAAGTACAGCCTCGAACCAGCCGGTTGCCTTATCACGACATTAAATAATAATTATTACATGACCGGCGGAACAAATAGGGGGACAGAGGAACAATGTCCTCACGGTTATTCGATGTCCCCATCGTCTGCCCATGCTGCATAAACCTCTCCCTCCTCCACAATCCTGCAATGTTAATGTCCCCAAATGTTCTCCTCGGCCACTGAGGATGAGTTTATGTGGATTGAGTGATGCATATGCATACGTATCCATACATAATATTTACTTATCTGGATTAGCAAGAGTTTGGTGATGTGTCGGATATTAAATTCGTGGCAGGGTTCAAAGTACATATGTATTACAAGCAATGAATAAAAAAATTAAGCTTTTAAGCTTAATTTTTGCTTTTTAAATGTGTTTTAAAAATTATTTATCTAGAGTTTTTGCTCTTTACCTGGGTTTTACTTCGGGTTTTTACTGTGTTTCTGGTATGGGAGGACTACAATGCTACATACATACATACATACATACATACATACATACATACATACATACATATATATGTATGTACATACTACTACATATATACTCGTAATTATTTTATTACATATAATTATACACATTCATCAAAACTATTACTTCGTATTAAATAAGGACATGAAATGGTGTTGATACTACACTTTTTTATATTGGGTTTAGTACTGATAGTAATGAATCGGCGTTGGCAAATTTGTCGCGATTTTAAGGATATTTTTCTCCTAGATGTACTAAACTTGGTCGCGTTCCCCATAAGTCTTGTTCCGTGTAGTAGGCAGGGTCATCATTGGAACTGGCGTCCAAACAGACTGCGAGACCATCCCAGATTACGTCACCGGGTTTAAAATTGCTTTCAGGTTTTGTAACAGAGTTTGAATGTTGTCTAAAAAGGCATAAAAATAGTACAAAATTATAAATGATAACCAGAAACGAAGCACATTATTTAATTTAAAAGCACCTGAATGACGAATGGATATTCTTCCTTTTTCTTTGTAAAGCGTTATCATCTTCAAATTCTGGGTCAGATCTGTGAAAATTAAAAAATGAAAATGTTGTAAAAACGGGTCTATTTTTGAACAGAACACGCTTCAAAATGGCGCAAAAGGTGTGTAAAAACAAAGCCATATAAATAAATTTTACTCTGCGTTAAAAGTTGTGCCGAAAAATGGACCAATTTTCAGTTTTCAGGAAACGAAATAAATGCAAAATGCAAGAAATTGCAATAAAGTTCGCCAAATACGCGCCATCTAGCGACGTGCCGTATATGCTATAGCGGTGGGAAGTAGTTTCATTTGACTTGCATTTCTTGAAGGTCAAAATAGCTGCAAGAAACCACTTTGTTGCAGTTATTTATTGCAAGTGGTAACTTGCACCCGAAACACCGCCAATTTCCAGCAAGTCGATTTCCATGAATAAATATAGCGTTGTATGCATTTTTTGCAAATTTACTTACACTTGCGCCCCCGTTTCCATTTCGACGTTATCACCCCCGTTTTCATACTGTTCTAAACCCTTGAGCAATGTCATCCTCAAGCGAACCCCGTCTTCGTAATATTTGATATGTTTGTAAACTTCTGGCATGGGGAGGACGCCGTCATCATTGGGATGTTCCAAATAAAGGTCGTGATTTCTCGAAATGTGGTGCGCTATTCCGACTGCTTTGTCCAGCTCGGTCATTCTCGAAAATTTGTGAATATTGTTGATAATTCCGTAAGAGTAATCTTTCCCTTCTTTCCGAGTGTCGCGAAACCTGAGACAACAAATATGTATTTACATATTTACAGGAAAATGTCAAAATTTTGAAAACCTTTAAGGTCACTAAAATTAAGGTTTTACTAGGATAAGGATTAGATCTCACATAGATTTTTAATCTCAATCATCCCTATTCTATGTCTTTAAATGTAAATTTATAAAATGACATCAATTTCATAAGTTTTGAAATGAATCCAATTTTTGACATTTTAATGTAAAGTTAATTTTTGACACTACAAAACTATCGATTAAAAAAATTCCCAATTTATTTGCCATTTTTGTAATAAAAACCTTCTCAAAAATGAATTCGCTAACTTTTCTTTCAAATCGATAGTTTTGCAGTACCAAAAATTAATTTTATATTAAAGTAGGAAAAGTCACTTTTATCTCAAAACTCATGAAATTTATGCCATTTTAGAAAATTACATTCAAAGCCATTGAATGCGGATGAAGTGAGATTTAAAATCTATGACAGATTTGTTCACTTATTGGAATTGTGTGAATAAATTTTAATTACCATCTATTTTGAACCATCTTCATATTAAAAAGCATCTCCATTTGTGTCGCGTAAAAATGTTCCGCATTAAAGTCATCATTAAACACATCGAAGCAAATGGTACGGACAAAGTCGACAAATTTCCAATTCATGTCGACAATTATGTCGGTATTTAACGGGTCAAAGGCCAAGGTTAAGGGAGGGAGTGGAATATCGTTGATGGTTTCTTTTCCATTCGTAGTACTGGACTTGTTGCTATTTTTTGTTGGATTGGTGGTGGTGGGGGTAAATGTAAACGAACTGGCCTTAAATCAAGAATAATTACCAAATTAGGCATTATTTTAGAGTTGTGTACTTATACATACTAGGGCATGAAAATAAACGCCACGCGTTTTGGGAATTCTAGACATGCAAATAAATGTCCGGAATTTTAGCATGAAAATACATACATAAATGCTGAAAATCTTTTGGCGTGAAAATAAATAGTTAGAGTTTTAAGCATGAAAGTAAATACGGGGAATTTTGGATACAAATACAATATTTTGATACAAATAAATGCTATGAAGTTTAGGCATGAAAATAAATGGTGGGAACAGGGTATTCCGACCCCGGGTTTTACTGGGTTGGGGTTTTGGGGTTTTACTGGGTTTTACTGGGTCGCAAATCAGTAAAACCCAGAGGGTTTTACTATGTTAAAGGGGTTTTACTGAGTGTTACTCGGGATTTACTAAGTTTTATCTAAAATTCAAATAGATAAATCAATAGAATCAGTTTGCAGATGCATATATAACTCGAATTAAGTACTCTGATCAATATCCAGTAAATTTCTCTATTTCGAATTTTTGTTTATTATCTTAAAATCATAATTTATAGCTTAACTTGGAGTTTGATCAAATTCGTATTTTTCTTGTGTTCCTGGCATTTTTAATTCAAGTTTTTTGATAAATCTTGATAAAATTTATTAATTTAACAAATTGACGTAACATTGTAAGTTTTATTACTTCACCCTAAACATTTAGTAAAACCCAGTAAAACCCAGTAAAACCCCGGGGTAGTTGTTTTCAGAGTAAAACCCTGGGTTTTTCCGAACCCTGGGTGGGAAATGCATGAAAGTAAATGCCGGATAAATGGGGCATCCCATCACCCATGGAGAACTACATATGCAAATGACCGTACAAGTATAAGTCTACTTAAGAAATTATAGCACCTACTTTTTTGGGGCATGTCCCATTCTGATAACGAATTTCTAGCACATCACTCTTATTCCAAGGTTTCACTTTCTCCCCACATTTCGTCAAAACAGCCACAATCCTGTCAAACTGGGTCCCCGTAAGTCGTCCGACGTCCACATCGTAGCCTTCAAAGAGGTAAAAGAAGCTTTGAAAACCAGCCTCCGTCAAGTCGCTGGGAACCATTTCATGCGGTACTATTTTTGAAAATAGTTTAAAGCTTTTCTCCAGGAGGATAAATCTCTGCGTGGAAGGGGTCCGATTCAGCTCGGGAAATCCTCTTTTACGCATGATGTTAAAAACTCGAAGTTTGTTGTGCTGGGTGGAAAAGGTGTCGTTTTCCAGGTGACTGATCGGGTAACGGATACTTCGAGGTAAGGTTTGGTTAAGGGGGTCGGTGGTGTCGTCAGTCTCGGAAGACGATGGAGGTGGAGATATCGTCGCGACAGGTTCGTCAGTCTCACTTTCCTCGTCATTTTCTCGCTTGTATCGCAGCAATAATTCTTTTGGGGGCGATACGTTGACTTGTTTTGTAGAATGATAGAAATGATTTGGACAGTTGTTTCCTATATTTAAGTATAATGGATTAATAATCCATGGAAAAATCGATCTGCCAAAAATTGACCATTTTTTCTTAAAATACCCATCAGACTCCTGAGGAATTGTTGCAACATAAGTTGTTGGAGGAATTGCTTTTAAAAATATATGTATAAGGAGATTACTTAATATATACAATTTTGGTATTTTTCACGCAGCCGAAACGATCCTATCTACCCACATTATCACCTACATAGATGGCTGCAATCATTGCATATCTTTGGAGCAAGAATGCACAAAAGTCAGGTCGAGGTTCTTTACTAAATCGACCCAAACACGTTGATATTATCAAGACACCGCCGCGTCATATTCTGGAACTAATTTTATTTGTCTGGTCCTTTATCTGAGGTATTCAGGGTTATCCAGATGAGCCCCCGGGACAAATATGTAGGTATTAAACTTGAACTCATTTTCTACTGGAGACAAGATAATCAATATCTGTTCCTCCGTGGAGCCAAATTGTCTAATCGTCTGGCCCAATTATAGATAAATTAGCAAGAAAGGGCGGATGGGTATGCGTTTTGTTGCAGACTTTTTTTTTAGAAAAATTGGTCAATTATTGGCAGGTCTATACGGAAAATAATTTTTTACTTGAAAATAGCGTTACTTATTTCTTCTCAACTTTTGATACGGATTCGATTTCGAAAACCTCCGAGTACAGACTGCCTCCTCTGCAGGGAGACGTAACAATCCCAGGCACGCTATCTTGATCCAGGCGAAAACAGCAATCGCCGCCGCCACTCCTGTTGTATTTAGCTGTTGACGACAAGTAACATAATTCGGTCAGCGACACTAATTTTTATCAGGGGTGACCAAAACACTTTGTCGAAATACATTATCTTGATCTCCGTTCTTCTTAGGGTTTGGTTTTGTATGCTGTTGCAGTCACAAAAATATGAAAATTTACATACGTGGAGAATGCAAGC